ATTCATCATCATTTCGTCTAGTATCAACAATTTCTCTAATTGATAAATCTTCACTCTTAAAAAGGTCACCTTCTGCTATAGCACGTTCCAAATCTTCAGTGTCCAATTTAATTTTTTTAGTGTGATCATGTAATTTGTTAATTTGTATAGGTAGACCTGGATCTGTATAAAAATATTCGGGTTTAAGAACAACATCCGTTAGCTTTGGAACAACTTTTAAATCGATTTTATTTTGATAACTGTCAATTAGAGAATTTAATTTATCTATATTCAAATTGTCTGTATAAGCTTTGTTTGTGTTAAGTATGGCCCTATCGGGAATATATGAATTGTCATATTTTCTGACACTTTTTTTCTCAAATTTTGCCAACAACTGGTTTATTTTTTTAACACTTCTTTCTAGCATCTTCGTTTTCTTGACAATCTTTAATACTGTTAAGGTCAAGGTGTATTACTGGTTGCATAACCGCAACGGTGCATTGAGGAACCTGGCGAATTCGACAGAAAGTAAAAGAAAATTACAGAATTCTTTAGAAAATTCCAGAAACCGTCGCCAGGGGGTATATAAGGCCCGCGCTTTGACAGTTGGAGCAGTCTGAAGATAGTCTGAAGTCTGAAGATAGTCTGAAATTTGAAGTTTGATATACCGCGAAATACCGTTAGAGTAATAGTAGTTGCATAAATTGTGTTGTAAATAGTATAAGTTGTGTGTACAGAGTGAGACAAATAAATTCGTTAAGTATTTTATCGTGAGTTTAAATAGTGGACCCACGGAATCCGTAACAATTGGTGTCGGAAGTGCGATTCAAGAGGATTTTAAGAAGAAATTAAGTGGATTGGAAGATTTTAGACCGAATCAGAGTATTTTTATGGTTGGTACAAGGGAGCAATCGAAGAAAATGGAAGAAGTAAGCAAATTATTGGGCGATTTTATGGAGAATATGAGAAGAGAGAAAGCAGAAGAAAAAGAAGTAGAAAAATTACGCCGTCAAGAAGAACAGGACCGGCTTGACAAAATTTTTGAAGATTTGAAAATTCAACGACAACAAGAAAAACAAGAAAAAACAAGAAAGACTACGTAAAGATAAGGAAGAGGAAAAATTACAACGACAACAAGAAAAACAAGAAGAACAGGACCGGCTTGAGAAAATTTTAGGCAATTTAGAAATCCGTCAAAAGAATGACTGGAGGGAAATTTTAGAAGATATAGAGACGCACCGCCAGAAAGAAAGACAAGAAGATTAAAACCGTCTTAAGAAGAACTTTGAAGAACTAGAAAGAAGGCAAGAAATCCACCTTCAAGAAGCCGTAGAAGATCTGGAGGAACGCCTTCAGCAGAAAATGGAAAAATTAGAGATGGACCTACACAAGACCAAGGTGCAAGTAAGGACATCTGGTGTTTCTGGAACTGCGAACCTTAAGGCCCCGACCTACGATGGACAAACGACCTGGACGATGTACCACCGCCAGTTTGAAGCAGCCGTCGCTGCCAACGGATGGACCGACCAGGAGAAAGCAGCGGCACTTGTCATCGCGCTGCGTGGCCCTGCTCTGGAACTGCTGCAAACTATTCCTGCAGCCCAACAGCAGGAATACCAAACTTTGGTTGCTGCACTGGACAGAAGATATAGCCACCAACATCGACGTCAACTTTACGAGGCCCAGATCAAGACACGCCTGCAGAGGTCCGGAGAGGGTCTGCAGGATTTCGAAGCAGACTTACGTCGGCTGGTACACCTGGCATATCCAGAAGCACCGGAAGGATTTAGGGAGGAACTAGCTGCTCAGTGCTTTATCAGCGGACTGAGGGACAACGAATTGCAGAGGGCGCTGCAAATATCCCAATTTTCTACCAGCAGCGAAGCACTCGTCAGGGCGCTGGAAATTGAAGCTGCTTTTAGCGCCATCCCTAGACCGAAGATAAGATCGGTAACGGTCGATGAACAGCCCGAGAGTTCTCACATACGTTTGGAGGAAATGTTTAGTAAACTATGTGAGTTACTAGTGAACAAGAGTAGCAACAACACCCAGACAGAGAACCAGAGAAGATCCCAGGATATTAGGTGCTCTAGATGTGGCAGGAATGGCCATATCCAACGGGATTGCCTCATCCAAATGCCATTCCGTTCATCAGCAAGAGAACATCGGCACATCGGAAGATCCCAGGACATAAGTTGCTATAGATGTGGCAGGAATGGCCACATCAAACGGGATTGCCGCATCCAAATGCGATTCCGTTTACCATCGAGAGAACATAGGCACCAGGAAATCAACATTAATGAGCGAGTATTGGCTGAAGAAAACAGAGCCCCTAGGATGTTTTCCGTTAGGAGTCTAGGAAAAACCGCTGACAGTTTGGTGATCAACGGAAAGGTCAAGGGTAGAAGAATTCGAATGACTGTGGATACAGGCGCTATGGTATCGTTGGTGCGGACTAACTCAGTGCAAGGATTGAAGATGATGCCTCTTTTTTTGAAGTTTCGGCATAGCGTTTTAGTGGCAGACATTGAAGATGATTTTATCATGGGTATGGATGTGATCAGTCAACATGGTTTTTCGTTCGATCACCATAGAAACATCCTGAAAATCGGAAATGAGGAATTTTCTGTATCTAAAGAGAAGAGACCAGGAAATATGGAAGCAAGATCAGCGGAAATTGTGATGATACCTGGTGATGCCAAGAAGACTGTGTTCGGGAAAATGGAGAAAACCCCTGAGTGCCGTGTAGGACGGTACAAATTATCGACAACGAGCCAGATCGACGACGAGCTACCTTGGGCAAGAAAATGAAACATCGCGAAAGCACTATCAGAGTAAGGAATTTTAAACTGAGAACTGACGAACAATGGACGATGATACAGTTGAGGAAAGATCAAATGGAAGATCCAGACATCGGAGCAATACTACGACTCAAGGAAGATAACGGCGAGAAACCACCGTGGCAGGATATTGCGGACAGAGGGCTGGTTTTCAAAGCTCTCTGGGCTCAGTGGAATTCACTGGTTATTGAGAATGGATTGTTAAAGCGCACGTGGGAAAGTGCGGATGGCAAGACAGTAACAACTTAGTTACTGATACCAAGGAAGAAAGTCACCCAGGTATTGGAAGAAATTCATGGTGGTAAAACTGCAGCCCATCTTGGAGTAAACAAGACCTTGAGCAAGCTGAGAGACCGTTTTTACTGGGTGGATTATTGCGAAGATGTCAAGAAATGGTGTCAACGTTGTAAGATTTGCGCAGCTAGACAAGGACCAAATACTCGATCTGGGGAAGAAATGGAACAGGGTAGCGTTGGACAGTCGTTCGAAAGAATCGCTAGGAAGGAAGATTATTGGACATTCATAAGGCCGTTAGAAGTAAGATTGCGCTAGCCAGTGACCGGATGAAAGCTCGTTACGACCTCAGAGCTAATTCTACGGGATTTCAACAGCACGATAGGGTATGGTTGTATAACCCACAGCGCAAGAAAGGAAGGTCCCCAAAGTTAACTCCAGCATGGGAAGGTCCTTATACAGTCATCAAGAGGATAAATGATGTTGTGTACCGGATTCAGCGCAGCCCTAGAAGTAAGGATGAAAGTAGTTCATCTCGATCGATTGAAGAGATACCAGACAGGAAACCTTGATCGGGACGATCAAATTTGAGAAGGGGGCAATGTTAAGGTCAAGGTGTATTACTGGTTGCATAACCGCAACGGTGCATTGAGGAACCTGGCGAATTCGACAGAAAGTAAAAGAAAATTACAGAATTCTTTAGAAAATTCCAGAAACCATCGCCATGGGGTATATAAGGCCCGCGCTTTGACAGTTGGAGCAGTCTGAAGATAGTCTGAAGTCTGAAGATAGTCTGAAATCTGAAGTTTGATAATACCGCGAAATACCGTTAGAGTAACAGTAGTTGCATAAATTGTGTTGTAAATAGTATAAGTTGTGTGTACAGAGTGAGACAAATAAATTCGTTAAGTATTTTATCGTGAGTTTAAATAGTGGACCCACGGAATCCGTAACAATACTTTCTTTCCTGGCATGTAATAGTCAGTGGCCAAAGAATAGTTTTAATCAGCCGGTTTTGGCATTAAGTATATCAGGTAATTGGTATCAGTTGTATCTTTTTCAAGTAATGAATCATCTTCTGTTGTTACATTATCTTCATTTTCCTTACAATTACCGCCGTATTTGATAGTTTTATCATAATTTCAATTGATAATTTCCACGTCCAATATTTTATCATCTTCAGTTTTGTCATTTAGTTTCGGCAATCCAAAATTTCACTGTTAGGTTCAGTTAAAACTGCTTTTTGCGACAAACTGTCAGAAACAAAAACAAAACAAAACTGAAAATGTTCAGTCGTGTCATTTAGTTTCGCAATCTAAAATTTCACTGTTAGGTTCAGTTAAAACTGCTTACAAACTGTTAGCTACATTATCAATATCATTTTTATAATTTCCCCCATGCTTGGGTCTTTATTATAGTTCTAGTCAAATATTTCCAACGTCTGGTTTAATTTTATGTTCTATTATTTTACTATTTTCTATATTAGTGATTTTGTCCAAATTATTATTATTTCAAAATTCGTCAAATATTTCTTCGGGTTTATAATTACTTGCAGGTTTTTTAGATCTGTCATAATTATTGTTAATTATTTCAACCTAAGAATTATATATATTATCCTCCGAATCAATTTTGCTCACTATATAGTGTTGGTATACACATAATTTGTGTATATTTTTTTACTAAAAACTTTTTTTGGTTTCTAAGTTATAATCGTTATATCCGAGGTTATATATACCCCTCGGTTTACCCCTTTGATTTACCGCTCTAATAAAACCACTATAAATACTTTCTCTTGTCTTTATTATAATGCCTCTAGTAAAAATATAGAATAAAACCATTTTATTTTCAATACAGTATTTTTTAATATTACACATTTTTTTCTATAAAATATTAAAATTATTATACAATAAAAGTAGGTATATGTACAGAAGTTTTATCATTTTTGTTCTAAACAGTAGCATAAAAATATAATCTTTTACTAGGATCTTTAATAAAAAATGGTTTCTTCAGTGTTTCGTGTTTCCCTGTCCTTTCAATATGAATAGGTTTCTTATTTGTTTCAGTAACTACTATATTTGATTCATCATCATTTCGTCTAGTATCAACAATTTCTCTAATTGGTAAATCTTCACTCTTAAAAAGGTCACCTTCTGCTATAGCACGTTCCAAATCTTCAGTGTCCAATTTAATTTTTGTAGTGTGATCATGTAATTTGTTAATTTGTATAGGTAGACCTGGATCTGTATAAAAATATTCGGGTTTAAGAACAACATCCGTTAGCTTTGGAACAACTTTTAAATCAATTTTATTTTGATAACTATCAATTGGAGAATTGAACTTATCTATATTCAAATTGTCTACATATGCTCTATCAGGAGTATATGAGTTCTCATATTTTCTGACTCTTTTTTCTCCAATTTTAGTTTCTGATGTTATAAAGGAAGGATCTAATGCAACGCTATGCTTATTATCTAGCGGAACCAAAGCTTCCTTTTCTTCAAAATTGTCAACAACTGGTTTATTTTTTTGATCACTTCTTTCTAGCATCTTCGTTTTCTTGACAATCTTTAATACTTTTTTTCCTGGCATGTAATAGTCAGTGGCCAAGGAATAGTTATAATCAGTCGGTTTCGGCATTAAGTATATAAGGTAATTGGTATCACTTGTATCTTTTTCAAGTAATGAATCATCTTCAGTTGTTACATTTTCTTCATCTTCCTTATAATTACCGCCATGTTTTTTAGTTTTATCATAATTTGAATCGATAATTTCCACGTCCAATATTTTATCATCTTCAGTTTTCTCATTTAATTTCGGCAATCTAGAAATTTCACTGTTAGGTTCAGTTAAAACTTCTTTTTGTGACAAACTGTCAGCTACATTATCAATATCATTTTTATAATTTCCACCATGCTTGGCGGTTTTATTATAGTTCTGGTCAAATATTTCCACGTCCGGTTTAATTTTATCTTGTATTATTTTACTATTTTCTATATTAGTGCTTTTGCCCAAATCGTCATTATTTCGAAATTCGTCAAATATTTCTTCGGGTTTATAATTACCTCCATGTTTTTTAGATTTGTCATAGTTTTTGTTAATTATTTCAACCCAGGAACTATTATCTTCGGAGTCATTTTGCTCACTGTACTGTGTTGGTAGATCCAAAGTTTGTGTATATTTTAAAAGTTTTTTGGTACCTAAGTTATAATCGTTAGATGTTTTATTTTTATTTTTATTTCTTTCTACGTTAGGTTTACCAGAATTTTTATTTCTTCCAAACGGTTCTCGTATTAACTTCAGTAGATCCGCAATTATAGTTTCTTCTTCTCTTTGATAGTTTCTGCCACCGCTACTAATTTCTTTACTCTCTTCTTGCACTGCTCTTTGCTCTGTATTATCGAAAGTTTTTGCTGTTGTATCAATAACTTGATCATCTGTCTGGTACTGGTTTACTATACTTTTATCTTTATCATAATTTTTATTAAATGCACCAATCTCGATGCTATCTTTGTCATCACTAATGTTTTTATATAATTTAGTAGTAAATTGATTTGCTGTATCAATTTTTTCGATATCTTTGGAATCTGTGTTATTATTATCTAAAATGATTTTTATGTAAATTGAACAAAATTGGCTTAAAACCACAATAGTTACCTGTATTTTCCAAATATTTGAAAGATCGTTTATTTGCCTTTATAATTCCCTGTTTAACTGCCAAAGCATCAACTTCTTTAATCAAATCTTGTGCTATATTATAACTTATAGGACTATTGTCTTCGTGGGTATAATTATCATTTATAACTGTAGTATTTAATGTGTCGTCGACGCTTAACGTTGAAGCGTTATTAATTTGTGAATCTGAACCATAATTGGTTTCAGATGTAATAGAATCTTGTTCTAGCGCCTTTACAGCTGAGTTAATTTTATCCTGTTTATCATGATTTTTTTTAATAATATCTTGAAGAATGTCTTTTGCTATAAGAATGTATTGACTGGAATCGGCTTCTAAAAAGAAAATAAAAATGTAGAAAATATATAATTTTAGAAAAAAATATAACCAAGCAAATAAAGCAAAGCAAAGGAGCATTATAGAATTGAGCTATAATAAGATTAAATAAATTTAATTTAAATATTATGACAAAATTGAAAAGATGGGAATTCAATTATTGAGATAAACTCATTTGAATGTAACATATTTTTTTCAGCTGTTATGTCGGGTGGTTCCTCTTTGTTATGCAAGGCTATGCTTTGTTATACAAATATACATATATGAGGGTTATACAGTAAGTTTATTTGAGTCACGTAAAAATATTTGTAGGTTTACAGTATCTCCTCAACAAAAATACAGGGTGGTCCTAACTGTATTCCAGAGACTTCGGAGGTATATTCTGCAGATAAAAATGAGTATAAAAGTTCGTATAAATGTGTGTCCTAAAAAGTTTAGTTTCGGGGATAGAAGGTGTAGCTGTTTCATTTTTATTTTCATTTTTTTTCAAATAATTTTTGAAGTAACGTTAATGTTTGGATCAAAATTGGTGTCTGTGAATTTTTTGACATGAGAAATTTGATTTTGATGTTAATATGGCTCTTGACTTTTCAATATGACTTTGATACAATTTGTAGAGGACGCCATCTACAAGTGTTTTAACTGTTTCGAAAAGTACATAATAACTTTTCGTCCGTACCTATATAAAATTACTGAGTGAAAAAAATTACATTTCCGTAATTTTTTACCTAAAAAATGTCTCTTGGTAAAAATCCCTACCAGCGACCGTTCTCAAGATATTTGGAATGGAAATAGTCAATACATGTCATTATTGACAAAAAATAAACATGTTGAGTATATTATAGTATTATAAGTTTTGGCGGCAAGCCGAGGCATTCCAATCTAAACTTGTTTCCTTTATCTATGAGATAACGGACATTTTGACACTTTATTGGCAAATTTAATCTAACCAAAATATAATACAGAGAGTACAAGAGCCAGCAGCGTCGGGAAAACGAGAATTTTAAGAAATCTTATTGTTGTGATATACATATATCTTTTGCTATGCTCTCTTGTGCTCTCCTGACCAAACTGCGGGCCGTCTGGCTGCCGGTAGACTTCTGTAGTTCACTATACTGTGCATCACATCTATACAGGGTATCCCATTTTTGTGCGTTTTATGAGATTTCTCATTTATGAGTAGAGATACAATAATGCGATTTTCACATTAGTTTGTTACTTTTTTATGAAACTAAATATGCTACACATATGAGCTTGTTTTGCTCTTGCGGAAGTTTTGCACTGTTTTTTCTTGTTGTTGTCGATCTTTGTTTTGCAGATCAAACCCTAGTCTTGGTTTTAGTCTTACTTTTTGTGCAAGAGCAAAACCAAGATCAGTCTCACTCATCCCGACTTTATTCCTCCGAAGAAACAAAGCTTGATTTTCATGTATCCGTTGGCCGACGGCGCGGCGCGGCGGCGGCGACGATACCATATTAATTTTATTGGTTGAATTTAAAGACTTCGATTGATTAAAAAATTACGCAGTTTTTAAATTTATTGCATATGCCTCCGTTGATCGTATATACGATTTGCTTGTGATTGGTGGCATTTTATATTTTCATTTCCATAACGGTTACGCTGTTTTACTTATAGTCTACGAGCTAGCGACGTTTTCGAGACAGAATTTTAAGGAAGCTGGTTCTTTAATCTATATTTTGTTACTCCTGAACAGAGGGCGGACCGTTTGGCTGCTAGTAGGCGTTGCGTTCACTACTGCGCATCACAAATTCGCCCTGTATTTTTAAGAACTAAGGAGGCTAGGATAAACATATGTGTAGCATATTTAGTTTCACAAAAAAAGTAGCAAATGTAAAAATCGCATATCATTCTATCTCATAAATCGCATATCTCCAATCATAAACGAGAAATCCCATAAAACACACGAAAATAGGATACCCTGTACAAATATAATGCGCAGTTGTGAATCGCAGTAGTCTACGCACTTTCCATTTTGGTCAGGAGACCACAGGAGAGCATAACAAAAACGAGCATAAAAAACGTATATTAAAGAACCAGCTTTCTTAAAATTCTTGTTTTCACGACGTTGCTAGCTCTTGTACTATTAGATTTTTATTAAGGTTAGATTAAATTTGCCAAAAAAGTGCCAAAACGTCCGTTATCGTACGATCTTTCTCCGTTGACGGACTGGAGTCCCAAACATTTACCGATGAAATGTGGCGAGAAAACGCTATCACCAATCAGAGCGCCGCGCCGGTCGGACCATCGGCATCATATCAATGGATAACGGACGCATGAAAATCAAGCGTAACGCAGCTTGCTCAAAATCTGACAGTAGTCAAGTACTAGATGACAGTTAACATAAGCAGTGTTCTTAACTTCACAAACTGTCCACGTAGATTGTGAATGTGGCACTACATCATTTTCGTTTAGGTTGCTTAAATTGAGAATGCGATGTGTTGTACCATCATTCATTCTGTAATTTTGGTCCATCCTGAATAAAAAAAATCCCTTTTGAAGAATGCGTCAATTCAAAAAATAAATAATAAAATACCTTAACATTAAGTGCACGCACTGATATGCAATTTTTAGTCGGCCAACTATTTAGTTACAAAAGTATATTCTTAAGGATCCCTCTCAGGGGTCGGGTAAAGCGGGTGTGTGGCTAAAGGAAATATATATTATATTTCAGAAATTTGCCTAAGGCTTATCCCGATCCTCTCGTGTTAAGCCACATCCAAAATTCCAAACACACGTGCTTTGATTAAGGTTTGTAGAGCTTCAGCATTTGCCATAAAATAGCGAGCAATCTGTTACAAAACCATATAAATTATATATCACTGTAATCACAAAACTTCAATCAATTTCCGTGTTGTAACAGAATTTTAAATTATATCTTTATTTTTAAGAAAATTTAGTCGAAACATATGGAATATTTTGTTGATGTTTGACCATCAAAATCTTAAAAATAAAGAACTTGTCTAAAAATGTGCTGCAATACGGATATGGTATAATCCTTTAACTTTAATTTTCTTCTTCATTTGTGTAAAAATACCTACCTAGCCAATTTTACAGAAAACGTTAAATATGCTGAACGCATATTTTGCTAGTTTTTCGGACTAGTGAAATGGACTCTTAAGGAGGAAATATTCTTAAGGAGTACATACACTGTAACGACTAGGGCCGGTCGACCCAACTAAGAGCTATGGGCAGGTTTTGGTATATACAGAAATAAATGTAATCATCAGACCGGTCATTGAGTCGACCGATCCGAAGGGTTCCGTCGACCAGTCCGATGATTTGATACATTTATGTCTAAGCATGATGTCTATACCAAAACCTGGCGATAGCTCTTAGTCGAATCTACTAGTCCGAGTCGATACGTTAATACGCGTTCTCATTTATAGAGCCGATCGACCGACTGTTTGATTGCGTGTATGTGCGGCTCCATAAGAATATATTAGTTACTAATCTTCAACTAAATTATTGTCCGACTAAAAGTTGCATATCAGCACACGCGCTGAAAAAGCAACCATCTCCCGTTTTTGTAGTTATTCACTTAGATCTTACATAGATTATGCATATGTTTAATAAATTATCCAATTTTACATCATCAAAAACTAATTCAGAAAACACACCGCAAAAGCAACTGCTTGATTTTGTACAAGCTGCGATGAAGGATACCAATTGTGAATCTGGGCTTAAGTGAAAAACCAAACACAACTAAATATTAAATATAATTATATTTTACTAATAAGCTGTGTATTTACATATATATTTACATTTAAACAGTGCTTTTAGATACCTAATTTCTCATTTTCTAAGTTTCTACTTCTGTCATCTTCTTCTGGTATACTTCTTTTGGCTATTTTTTCACTAAATTGGTCAGTATCAACTTCTTTTTCTGTTGTACTCCTAATTCTTACAGGTCTTCTTCTATAGACTCTTTTTGCTTTGCCATGATTATCAGGAGTTACACTTTCAGTTGAAATTTGGATTTCCGATGACTAAAAATTGGGTACTGATTATATTATACAAAGGCTTTTTTAATTCAATCTAATAAAAATAAATGTATCGCTCATGCATCTGTAGATGTTAGTAATGTATGGCAATCGCTTCTTTGATTTTAAAGAACATAACATAAATAAACATAACATAAGTAAAAATTAAAAATAATCATACTGAAAGTTTGGGCTTTTTGGTTTTACCTTATTAAGTAATTGTTATCAGGTAGTAATTGTTAATTTTGAAGTTTAATTTGATATAATGTGATTTAAATATTAACAGAACGTCAATGGTTTTTGTAGACTCATCTGTTTTAAAAAAAAAACTAGAGTGTTCTCGAATAATTGAATTTAAATATTTTAAATAGTTTTTTTCTTTATTCTTTGTATTTTTTTTTGCTTCCGACGACGGAAAGAGATAAACTTTCCGAAACTTTAAGCATTTTTTTGTTCGTTAACTTCTGACAAGTAGTTTCCGCAGATTATTCCACAAGATTAACGCCCAGAAGTGTTTACATAAAATAACTATTTTATTTTGTAGATTTTCTTGCAGTGGCGAAAAACCCATATAGGATTTTTTTGGAGAGATGAATCCGCCACATATAGTACGAGAGCTAGCAGCGTCGGAAAACAAGTATTTTAAGTCGTCTGGCTTTTTGATATATCTTTTACAATGCCCTTTAGAAGAGCATGCGGCCCGTATGGCTGCCGGTAAACGTTGCGTTCCTTACTGCGCATTGAACGAAGATCCTATATTTTTATTAGTCCTTTAAATTATAGTATCGAATATAAACCGACCGAGTCTCCATAGCTCGGCTCGTACAGGTTCTGCCTATCAAGCGAGGAGTCAGAGTTCGAATCCGGGTCCATGTAAAAACTTTTTATATTATTTTCGTTTATATTCTGATAGTAAAGTATTAAATATTTGTTTTTTTGAATCACCAGAATTATTTAATACTTTACTATCAGAATATATAATAAAAAAGTTTTTGCCCTGACCCGGATTCGAACTCTGAATCCTCGGTTCGTAATCGGAAACTCTACGCACTGCGTATGGAGACACTTTCGATTTATATTCAATACTAGAATTTATAGGACTAAATTAAAAAATATGTATACGATCTTCTTCCGATGCGCAGTAGTGAACGTAACGGGTATCGGCAGCCAGACGGGCCACATGCTGTTCCAGAGAGCATAGTAAAAGATATATCAAAGAGCCAGACGTCTTAAAATACTTTCTCGAAAACGTTGCTCGCTCTTAGACTAATAGGTATAGACATTTTTAACTAATTACATGTTAAATATGTTAATCCCTATATGTATATACAGTAGGTATTTAAATAATGTCAAACCTTTGATGTTTCTATTATTTGAGAATTCGTTGGCCTATTATCAAGTGATTCACTTGATGGTCTGGCACGTCTGCGAGAAGATGTTCTCGTAGAACTTGGTTTATCTTCTTGAACGTTGCTTTCTGGTACTCTTGCAGTTGTTATTCTTCGTCTTTTATGTTGAACTAGAATAGCATAGAAATGATAAATGTTTAAATAATAAAGTTAAAAAAAGGAAAAGTATAATGTCGAACCTCTATGGCCTTTATTTTCTGAGCAGATATCAAGCTACATCTTAAGTTGAATCTACTACTAATACATACACAGGCGAAGCCAGATCTGTCATGCACAGAAACACAAAAAAACAGTAACGAGACATAAAGGAGAGGAAGAAGGAGAAGGAGAAGGAGAAGGAGAAGGAGAAGGAGAAGGAGAAGGAGAAGGAGAAGGAGAAGGAGAAGGAGAAGGAGAAGGAGAAGGAGAAGGAGAAGGAGAAGGAGAAGGAGAAGGAGAAGGACAGATAATGATAATGATAATGAGAATGACAATGACAAAATGACAATTTATTAAAATGACAAATGATAAAATGACACGATTATTGATAATGATAAATGACAATGACAACATTGTAAAATTAAATGACAATGATGAAATGACAATGACAAATGACAAAATGATTAAATGACAATGACAGAATGACAAATGAGAAAATGAGGAGATGGAGAATGATTAGAATGACAATGATTAAATGATGAATGAGAAATTAAATTTTATTAAATGAGTAATTTAAGGAATGACAATGAGAATGATTAAATGACAGAATGAGAAAATGACAATGACAATGACAAATGATGAGAATGACAATGACAATGACAATGAGGAAATGAGAAATGAGAATGAGAAGGAGAATGATAAATGACAGAGAATGAGAAATTGATTAAATGACAAATGATGAATGAGAAGACAGCCGATGAATGATGAAATGAGAATGACAATGACAAGGATGACGATGAATGACAATGAATGATGAATGACAATGATAATGACAATGAGAATGGAGAAGATGGTACGATAATGATAATGGATAATGAAAGGAGAAGGAGAAGGAGAAGGAGAAGGAGAAGGAGAAGGAGAAGGAGAAGGAGAAGGAGAAGGAGAAGGAGAAGGAGAAGGAGAAGGAGAAGGAGAAGGAGAAGGAGAAGGAGAAGGAGAAGGAGAAGGAGAAGGAGAAGGAGAAGGAGAATATATTATTTTCACATATTGATAAAATGAATATTACCACTAGTTTCAGTTGGCTTAGATAATTCTTCGGTACTACTAATAATTATGCTCTCCGAATTATTGCTGGGTTCAGAAACTTCTGTATGCGACTGTTCTTCAAGCAACGCAGGCCTTTTAATCGATTCATCTTCCTCTGTATTTCTGTCTTCATCTGCATTGTACCTACTGCTTATATTGTGCCTGGGTCTCTCAATAGTTTTATATTTTGAATAATCAATGGGTGTTGGCGTAACTATTGGTTGAACTGTAGGAATAAATTGGTTAATATCAAATATTTGTATGTTTTTTAGTTTCTCTTCGGCATCATCGGTTATGTTAATCTTACCTGAAATATAAAACATAATAGTTTAGATAAAATATAATTAGCTTTATAGTCAAAAAATTATAGTTTATAAAAGTATATATACATTTTGTATCAATTACGTCGCCAATCACAACTGTATACAGGGTGTCCCAGACTGAGCATGTATTAGAAGTTTCTAGAGAACTACAAGATCTAGATCGGAGATTTTATGCACATCATTGTGTTCACAATGAGATCTATCGATTAAAATTTTTTTCAATATGGCGGCACTTCTGGAAATACCGGAAGTCGACAGAAAATTTCTTAGTTTAAATAGGTACCCCCATTTTTTATTACATACCTAAATTATCTGTAAAATTTTATGAATTTCGATATCAAACACTCTATAACTAACATTTTTGAGAAAACCTTTTGACAAAAAAAATTATATAACATTTTTTGAGGAAGAAAACTGTCTGTTTAACAAAACATCAAGAGAGTAGAAGCATATCCTGCAGCAAGGAGATCCGACCTAACCCTCTAAAGGAAGACGCGCACTGAATCGACTCGGACCGGTCGATTCGAGCTATCGGCAGGTTTTGGTATACATAAAAATAAATGTAGTCGCCGGACCGGTCGACCACGCACTAATTCGTATTGCTCGACTCGACAACCGGTCCGGATAATTACATTTATTTCTATGTATGAATATACTAAAATCTGCCGAAAGCTGAGTCTAGTCGATTGGTCCGAGTGGATTCAGTGAGTGTTCAAGATCTCTCCTCTATAAAAAACAAAGTAAAAATAAATCCTATAGAAAAGTATTAAATAGTATACATTTTAGCAGTGATTATTTTATAATTATTATAAATAGCAATAAAAACGCCCATATTATTATTGAAGATATCTAATATATAAAACTGAGGTTGAATACTGAGGAAAAGATACTGAAATTGAAGGAGATAAAAGTATTTACATAAAATGTATGTACAGGGTGGGTCAAATTGGACGGTTTTAAAGGGAAACATCCTTTTCTATAGAAGATAGACAATAACTAATATAGGTAAATGTCTCATGTCTTGATTTGTTACTTATTTCTATTGCTATTAGATATAGTTTAAATGAGTTAATGTTGTTAAATATAGTTTAAATTGTTATCAAATTCTGCATCTCTCATTGCAAATATTATTTTCGTTTTACTTGCTCCTCACAGCTATAATTTTATTGCAATACAGCAGCCGCCGTCAAAACCCATACTTATTCAAAGTGGGCGAATTTCTAAAAACTGTATATCTCAAAGAGGAATCGAGTAAAATATCAAGTTTGAAAAGGTAATTTTAAATTCTTTTCAATTAATTAAAAATATACAAGGTGTTTAAAAAAATATTCTTAAACCATTAAATTGTATGTAGAAAGGTGTTTTGGAAATGTTTACATAAAAATACAACATTTTCCATTGCAAAAAAGTTACAGCGATTTATTTAAAATGCACATTTTTGAAAAACAACCCGTAACTCCGAAACGGTAACAGATATCGATGTACTGTTTTCACCATCATGATTTTGATAAAAATTGAGCTACAGACACAGATATTAGTTTTCGTCTATCTCCTATAGAAAAGGGTGTTTCCCTTTAAAAGCCTCCAATTTAGCTCACCCTGTACGTTTAGAAGCACTGCACGAACTATTTACATTAATATTTATTTTGCCAAACAAGCACTGCATATATGAAAATTTAACTCACTCTTAATGTATTGAACAGGCGCTGTTTGAGACAAATAATCTTTTACGACGTCAAATACGGTCATATATCGTAGTTTAGGAAAAAGTTTGTCGACAACGTATTTTTTGACAAAACTTGTTTTTATATTGGAAGTTATCGGACTTTGAATCTTGGGTAAATAATCTCCAACATTAAAAACTTGTATTTTTGATATATCAACACTGGGTTGATAAAGAACACTTACAGCACTGCCTGAAATATTTCCTTTGTTTGAAAATATCATCTAGTCCATAGTAACATACAGGGTGAGTGTTCTACGATGTTCTTTATGGGTATCTCGGAAACTACTGAAGATAGAAAGTCGGTTAAATGGGAAAAGAATTGCAGTTTTGTGGGGTTATAAATATGCGCCTTTCAGATTTTTGAAAAAGTTCATGGCTTACTAGATATTTCGAAAAAAACAAATTTCGGCTATTTTAAAAACTGTCCCTAATATCATTATAATCTATTTTAGACAGAATGTTTTCAGGTAAAAGTTGTAGATAATCACATCCCTAATGAATTTGTTTTCTCCGTTTTTTCTAAAGCCCGTCATTTTTGACATATGACACAAACATATGTTTTTTTAATGGAAACCACAGTTGGTCATGACTTCATTAAAAGCGCCATATTATAAGCTTTTCAGCGATATAAGCTATAATGTTTTTTTTTTCTAAAAATTACTGAGTTATAGCCAATTCTTATCATTTTTAAATAATTTCATTTAGTTAAGCTAAGAACATAGTGGAGCGACGAGGATAGCGGCGAGCAAGCAGCGCGACGTCGCGTCCAAAACAAACCTGTGAAGAGGAGTACGTGCGAACATAGTAAAGCTACATTCGAAATCAATTCGCTGGCCGAGTGGCACTTCGACGTTAAAGTCGGCTCGAAATTAACCATTCACAACAAATTTCAATTCGAATTTTGCGCATGCGTGTTTAAACGTTCTCCTGACATTTTTTAGGTTTGATTTGGAGACAGTTGTTAATTAAGTTTTCCAAGTTTTTATGTTTAGAAAAATGGAAACAAAAACGTCATTTATTGATGATTTTTTTCTAAAATGTGTCTCAAGCACCCAAAACTTTTTCTCGCCATTAATATGGGTCAGACACCCCATTTTTTGGGTTTTGGTAAACCCCTTGGTTTTCGGTCAAGCTAATTATTGAGCTGCAACAATAATTGTCGTTTTTTTTAACAGCAAAGCCACAAGTCCTAATAAAATAAGAATAGCGTCCTTCACTCATTTTTCTTTTAATAATTATTTACTTTTCACAGGAAAATGGCTTGTAACAACGACACAAAAAAAATAATTATTAAAATTTAAATGTCAAATTTGTTATAATTGTCAAACGAAAATTCCGTGCTGAAGTGGAAGTTTGCAGCTTGCAAGCTTTCAATCATAGATAAATGCAACAAGTTTAGATTGGAAAGCCCGTAAAAATTTTAGGTCGCGAAATTATTTTGGGTCGCAACCGTTTTACGCGATCTGGCGCTGCTATAGCTGTCGCTAAGAACAACGGCAAACAAAAACAAAAATAATTTTCTCTTGTCAAAGTCAGAATCTTCAAAAATCATAATAATCTTTCAAAATCTAAACCGCTCTCATTAAAGAAATTCCGAAAAGTGTTTATAGCGTCCATTTTCAAAGTAATAATTGCTATCTTGTGAGTTTAATTCAAGTTTTATTTACTCCAACCGGTGATAATTGTGAAAAAGTGGCATTAAAAACTTAAAAAGCTGTGCTGTGAACTGTGAACTGCAAAAACCATCGTGGACCGTAGCATAACGTTTCATAGGTATTTCATACATGCGTCCTTATATAAAATAAAGTTTCTTGTATGCAACACACTGTCTTTTATTTATAAAATTAAACTTAAATAATAATAAATTTGAATAAACAATATTTGGCGATATAATTCCGGAAAAAGCCGAACCGCTCCGAAATTTCCAAAAGTTTTGGGTCGCGACCGTTGCAAAAATAGCGCCCAATAGTGTTTACATTGTCCTTATGGGCACTTTCCAATCTAAACTTGTTTCATTTATCTATGCTTTCAATCCAACTTCAACTTGCACTCTGGCGTCGAATTTTGTTGTGAATGAGTACACTGAAGTACATAAGATAAGCTTGCGTGCCAAAGTACGACTCGGCCAGCGAATTGATTTAGTATGTAGCTTAAAGCGATCTGCTCGAGCGGTTAGATCGAGCGGCGAGATCGATTCAAATAATTTTGTTTTCGTCGCGCTGTAGAAAATGATAGATTGATGATTCTCAAAAATTCATAGATTTAGTATTTGTAAGAGAGATTTTATGGGATGAGAAAGATAGTAATCACCATAACCGGTACATTTTAGAAAAGCTATGATATGAAGTGGCAACAAATTTTCGTAAAGGTTATAAAACTTAAACTTTCTCCGGATTTTTAAAATTTCATGTAACCAAATGTTTGGGACACTACTGCTCAGAATTTTAGCCACTGTTAACATTTTAAATTATCAATAAGCAAATGAAAATAATAAATTTGTACAAGTACCTCGCTCTTCCTCGCCGCTCTACTATGTTTTAGCACCTCGAGGCTCGATCGACGCGATATCGCGCTGCATGCTCGCCGCTCTTCTCGTCGCGCCACTATGTTTTTAACCTTAGCCATGGAAACAGTTAAATTGTCGTTGCTCTCAGAAATGTCAAACTGTCACATCCAAACTTAGGTTATTCAGTTTTAAAAAGATGCATTTATGTACTGAAAACAATAGCGGATTTTTTGAACATTTTCTAAAATAACTTAAATTGTATGTAGTGATGATGATTTTTAGCCGACCATACCAATAGGTATGGTAGGCTATTAAGATCGGCAAAAAAAAGTTTTTTTAATTTCACTCAAAATGAGTTATTTGGGTCATAAATGACCTAAATACAAAATATTTTCATGGTGTCTGTCGGTCCGTCTGTCCGTCTGTAACACGATGACTTAAAAACCGCTGAACCGATTTTAACTAAATTTGGCACAAAAATACTGTGGCACCCGAGAATCTGGCTATTAGTTTTTGGTGGGGGTGGGGGTTGGAAAGGGGGTATGGGAGAGGGTTAAATATTTTAAAAAATCGTAACTCCAAAATTACAGTAGCTAGCGAAACGCGGTTTTCAAATTAAGATTAGGAATAATATTTGCAACAAAATTTGCAATAACATCAAAATCAGTCAAAGTCGCAGTTTTCCAGATATTAACATATTTTAGTATGGGCGGCTATACGTGCCTCCCGGCGCCAATTTTTAAGTTCTAGTTTGGGAGGTGTAATGGAAATTGTAAAGAGCCGTTTAATAAAATATTCTGTCTTTTTATAAGTTATAAATCATCATTATCAGAATAAGAATACCATACCAACTAAGTGAAATTAGTCAAGAAAAATATTAATTGACTATAACTCAGTAATTTTTCGAAAAAACAATTTACAATGAAGTCGGGCATTGCTGAAAAGCTTAAAAAATGGCGCTTTTTATGAAGTCATGGCCAACTATGGTTTCCATTTAAAAAACCTTTTGTTTGTGTCACATATCAAAAATTACAGGCTTTAGAAAAAAAAACGGAGAAAACCGGAGGAAACGGAGGAAACCTAACCTAACACAATCTCATTAAGGATATGCTTATCTACAATTTTTATCTGAAAACTTTTTGTCTAAAATAGATTATAATGGAATTTGGGACAATTTTGGAAATAACCGAAATTTGTATTTTTCGAACTATCTAGTAAGCACTCAACTTTTTCAAAACCTAAATGGCGCATATTTATGACCCCACAAAACTGCAATTCTTTCCCCATTTAACGGACTCTCTATTCCAGTAGTTTCCGAGATACCCATAGAGAACATCGTAGAAAACTCACCCTGTATGCATATTAAGTTTATATTAATTTGCACCAATTCTAAGTTATATAAAATAGTATTAAAATAATAGTTACCTTGTTCTTCTTCTTCCAACTCATCTTCTGCTTCCTCCTCTTCAGGTTTAATAGTAGTTGTTTTACTCTTGGCCGAAGGTTCTTTCGGATCTTCTATATATTTATATCGTGAGTCACTTTTTACTTTGGATAATATATTTAGAAATGCTGGTGGGGTAGTACTTTGCAATTCTATTGACACGCTAGCTGCACTACTAAGAGTATCTGTAAAGATTTATGTTCAAATAAGGTTTGGGTAAATTTTAAAAGGAAACTGTTCTGTTGAACTACCATTGTTATTATTTTTGAATATATAGGGTGTTTCAAAAAACATTTGTATCCCTCGTGGGGAGATTCCTCATGTAAACATAAAGTTTATTTTTTGTATCAACATAGGTCCGATTCTGCTTTGTTTTGTATCTAAAGGTTAAAGACTTCATATTTTTTCGATTTATTATAATTTTCTTCCAAGTGCTTTTATCGATTCGAATGACATTTTGGGAGTAAAAGTTACTATAAGTGCGATATATTTTAATGCTAAAAAAGTGTTGACAGCTTCACGAGGGATGTGCGTATGAGTTATGACTGGAATATTTTTCCCAATTTTAATATTTCCATCCCAAATTTAATATTTCAAATATAAAAAAATCAGACATACCAAGAATATATAAACGAACATCTACCAAGAACAAATGAAAAAAATTAAATCATATACAAAATAAAAAAATTGTAAATGAACTAAAGGAAAAAAATAATTTGTCCCTGGTTTAACTGAAGAGTATAAAAGGGCAAAGATAAATTGAAGCAAAAATACTAGGCATTGGAAACAAAGGAAAGAAATGACGACTTAAGTCAAACAGAGGATAATGTGTTGAAAATGAAATTTAACAATGCTGTAAAATCTTTATTAAAAAATATTTACTCGGTAGAAGAAAATGATGTTTCTACGCAAGATATTTTGCTTTTGAAAGGATTAAAAGAGAAGGCTGTTGAGGCAACAAAATCGAAAGTATGTATGCAGATAAAAACTGATTCATTTTTTTTTAAAACCAGTTAATTCAAATCAGTCATTTCAATTCGAATTAAATATTAATTTCACATTTGTTGAAATTTTTATGTAAGTGTTTAATGTGTATTAAGATGCGTAGTTACTTAATGAATCATTCTGGACTCGAAGCTTTCCGGGAAAAGACGGAGCAAAGGATGATAAGGGGAATAAATGCATTCTATGAAACTGTTTAGAAGGAGATGGAGTCTGCAACCGTACATTATACACTGGATGTACACTGCCATAGTTAGACCAATCATCACTTATGGAGCACTAGTATGGTGGAAAGCGGTACTTAAAGAGATTAGTAGAAAAAGCCTCCCGACGACCAAGTACAACGATTAGCAGCTGTAGGTACAACTGGAGCAAAGAACAACACAGCGTAAGCTGTGCTAGAAGCAATTCTGGGCTTGTAATCAATCGACTGGCTCGTGAAGGATCTGGCCGCTAAGAGTGCCCTAAAATTAAGGATATCCAATCTGTGGAACCAGAGGAACCAGACCAACTACGGTCACTCGAGCATATTGTCAATGACAGGGAAAATTATGGCGAACACTAGTCCACATATACTAGACCAGAAAACGGACTATATGCCAACCAAACATGATTTTGGAGGAAAGATAACAATTCGCATCCCGACAAGAGAAGAATGGGAAAGCAACCGAGTAATAAACACTCAAGAGATATCAGTCTACACAAATGCTTCCGCAACTTCAGGAGGCACAGGTATACACAGGACACCCTACGATATTTAAAGCTATCGGATGGCTGTAATGTTCTACAAGCAGAGGTTTATGCCATAAAGAAAGCGGCTAGTTGTATGTATGAGAGAAAATTACTGATAGACCAATAGGAGAATCGTGATATACTCTGACAGTTTGGTCGCTTTAAGAAGCATCACCATGCAATCAGTAAGATCGAGAACTGTTATGGACTGCCGAGAAGCACTGTCCTGGCTACGTTAAGGCGGAGCTACTCTGTGCTGGGCGTCAGGCCACAGCAATGTGGTGGGCAATCAAGAAGCAGACTCGCCAAAGAGGGGGCCAGGGGAGAGGCCGTGGTAGATGGCCCACCACCTGTGACAATTAACACACTGAAGGAAGCTATAGGAATTACCATCAAGGCCAAGCAGCAAGAGACGTAGCAACACCGTGAGGTCTGCAATACGGCTCGAAGACTATGTCCAGATAGCAAAAACACAAAACAACTACCCGAGAACAAAAAGGACCTAGTACGCATAATTGTAGGTGTCATCATTGGAAACTGCCCCACGAGGGTAAACCTCGTGAGATGAAAGATTTCCAACGACGACTACTGCAGAGTATGCGGAGAGGAAAAAGAAACCACACAGCACCTGCTGTACCACTGTCCGCAACTGGAATACCGACGTTTTAAAACTTTAGAGCAAGGTTTTTTGGAGGGACTAGAAGAAGTATCAGAAGCCGACATCAGTGGCATCGGGAACTTTGCAAAGAGCTGGAAGTGCTTTAACGCAAAGAAAGAATGAGAGGAAGGTTTGGTACAATAATAACAGGGGTATCGCAATGGGCCCAAGGCCTCCCAGTGATGGATCAAACATGATCCCCAACCCCAGCAACCTAACCTAACCTAACCTATGGGTGCATATGGATACAATAACCACAGTTTATAAAAACAAAAAAAAGTTTTAGCATGTTTTATAGAGTTTTGCGTCTCGGTTTAAATAGAAACGTATTTAAACCTTGAATTTAGGTTGGAAACAATAAAAGTATGAAACATATAAAAATACTAACATTATAAAAATATTTCTTCACTAATCCGGATACTTATTAATTCGGAGGTGACTGTTACAATATGTGTCCGAATTAAGTTTTTTAATATTATTTACCATTACTCTGGCTAATGTTCAACACAACATGTCATTTTTAAACGAAACATCGTCTACCATCTTTAAGTAAATCAATATAAACTTACCGGGTGATGCTGTTGTTGGGTCAGGTATAAATTTATAGTTTGGATTATTTTTTAACTTTAATACGAAGTCGAGGAGACCTTCGCCATCTGCTGGAGGGGTAGCTGTTGCTAAAAGAGGACTTGTGGTAGTTTTTTTAGGTGTAGGATGGGTGGCATCTTCTGCTCTTTCTAAATAAATGCCAGGACTAACCTATAAATTAGCAGAAAAATCATTTACATAAAACAAAATTATGACAATAAATGGCTTTTTGACGACATTTTCACTTGCGTTTCAGTGGGTGCAAGCCGTTTGACTTTTATCCTAACAACTATGAGTAATAGAGAGGCACTAAAACCAACCACAAGAGACCAGAGGTACTACAGAGTTTTTTTAATACAGTCTAATAGAAATAAACGTATTGTTCAGGCATCTGTAGAGTTTAGTAATGTATGGCTATCGCTTCTTTGATTTTAATAAGCTTAACATAAATAAACATAAGTAAAAATTAGAAACAAATAAAAAATAAGGAAGAAACATATAAATAATACAGGAAGTTTGAGGCTTTTTGGTTTTACCTCATTAAGTAACTGTTATTAATAATTATTGTTAATTTTGAAGTTTAACTTGATATAATGTCATTTTAACAGTCAAGGGTTTTTTATTAGATGTAAGATGAACAGACCTGTAGGTATCTAATGAACAGACCTGTAGGTATCTGTTGAAAAAACTGAAGTGTTCTTGAATAATAATTGTATTTAGATATTTTAAATAGTTTCTTTCTTTATACTTTGGTGTTTTTATTTACGACGAAGAGAAGAGATATACCGTGCTGGCAACTGTTACTCTTGGGTCGGTATTTACATGTGTGGAAGTAAATCCCATAGGGATCTTATTAAGTCGGAGCGAGAAATGCGACAGTATGCTGTTGCGTTGTTGCCGGTACGCCTTTCCCTATCAAGTAAAGTAAAATCACGATCGCAAGCCGCTTATTTTTAAGACTTTTTTTCGAAAAGGTAACTAGATGAAATCATTAGATATATTTCGGAGCGTCTGAAATGGAATTAGAAGGATATCGTTAGGGTATCCATTTTTTTATAACGAGAATACGCCAGTAATCGCGATAATTTAAAAACTCAACTTTTTTAATCATAACACGCCATAACTTAAGTAATATTAATATCGAAGCTTTTTTTTTATTTTAAAGTTCGGATTATTTACAATATGTTTACATAAGAAAAATCCGATAAGGTTGTTTTTTTTTCCATTCTAAAATTTAAACAACCCATCCATTTACTTTTAGTGCATAGCAGTTTTCAGCAATCGTGTAACTTTTGTATTTATAAAGATTTTTGCATACTGTCTGGGAAGAAAGTTTTTGAAAAACTACATTCAATTATTTCTAATAGATTTCGAGATATCGATTTTTGAATTCAGAGTTCTAATAGCGCGACCACTGTCAAACACTAACTCAATTCTACTTATTTTTACCAAAAATGCAAGTGTTTCTAAATTTCACTTAAAATTTTTCAAGCTATAGGAAAAATTACAACGACTCGTTAATAAATAAACAAATAAAGTATCACGAGACGTAATTAAATCGTGAAGCTGAACGCACGATGTACACCTTTCCCTAGAACTTTAAGTACTGACAGAGGTACTGATTGGGTCGACCGGTGGACTGCGACCAATCTGCTATATCCCTTTCCACGTCTCCTAGCAATGTACACAGTTTCTCGGTTTATTTCATACGTTTGGCAACGTGTTTACTCTTCCCTCTCTGTTCAGTACATTATAAACGCATTGTATTCTTCTTACATACGGAAATCTCGACCCAAGACTAACCTTTGCCAGCCCTTAGTATGCTTCTCAAAACGTTAAGCATTTTTTGTTGTTTTATTAGTAAACCCACCGCTAACAAGTTGATCTCCCTTGGATTAACGTAGTGGTATTTACAAAATAAATATTTTATTTTGTAGAATTTTTTACAGTGCAAGTGGCAAAATGCCCAGAGAATTTTTTTGAAGAGATGAATCCGCTACAGAGGTATAGCCATTGTTTAACCATGAGTAAATTCGGTCATATTCAATTAGGATAAAACCACGCAGTGCTACCATTTTGAAAAATAATACCAACTTAATATAAATCAGATAATTATCGTAATATTGTCGGATAGAGAATTGCGAGCTCTATGCCAATAGGTTATAAATATACAATGTGCCATTGTATATAATTTAGACTTATTTCCAGTTAAACCGGAAGCTAATACTTATTGATTTATTTTAAATAGAAACTGTGAGTTTTAATTAATTATATTTTGAGTCCAGATTGCAAATTTATATTGCTATAGAGAGTAACTTGCAAGAATTTTGTTGTCCTTGATGTTTTTTTTTGACGTTCATAGAGTCTTTTCACAGACTTATTAGTTAGTCTGCTTACCTTGGTATTATTATTAAGACTAATTTAAATAAATACTAATATAATTTCTAATACCCTGTATTTCCCTAATTTCTAATACCTTTTGTATAACAAAAAAATACAAAGACTTACGGGAATTTCAATTTCTTCAATTTCTTCTTCTTCGACTTCCTCCTTTTCTGGTTTGTTATGATATACGATCTTCTTCGTGTCTTCATCATAATGATAAGATTTAGGCCTGTGAGGAATATAGTCGTCCACACTTTCTGATACTTCGGACGACGTTTCTAAATCTAGTCCTTGCCTGCCTATAAAATATGTCAATTATTTTCATATAAATTAATTAACAACAGAGATCCATATAGTCCAATTCTCAAACGATTACAAATGCATCCATATAACACACAATATCCGCAGGATATTCATAGTATGTTGGAATATCCCACTAACAAAGCCCTCCTCTACAAAGCCATTGTAGAGAGCATTACCACTTATCGTGGTAATACGTGGGAGCTAAACGAAATAGAGAAAAATAAGTTACTGTCTCTTGAAATGGATTTTTGGCGAAGAAGTTGTCGCATCTCAAGATTAGAACATATCTAAAAAATCAAACTTGGGACGATCACCTGCAATGAATGGATGATAATCCGATAGCCATAAAAGAATTCATACATGGATCACCAAATGATGAACGCAGGGAGTAGTTTATGCTATGAATTCAAAAGGCTTTCAGGAAGAAGATTGGACAGACATAAAGAGCTATGGAAGTTGAGAGACGGGAGAGACGAATGTCGTAAAAATCCGCATGTGACGATGTTCATTTATTGTTGTTAGAATATTCACAATTCCATGCAATCAAAAGAAGTGGAGAAAATGGACACAAATCCTCCAGTCTCCACCTGACAGGTACCTCAGCCGGCGACAAGCTCCTCGACTATGCAGGGCACGGAGGGTCAAACCCCAACCGTGGAAGGGTGTATACCAACGTAGGAGGTCGATGTCCACTCCTCGGAGGAAGAACACATGTTGTCAGAGGAGGGTGGGAAATACAACCATGAAAATCATGTATGATGCGTTATAGACTGTGACCTGTATTGTATGATGAGTTATAACTGTATGATGAGTTTTAACGCAAGAAAGGGGGAAAATGTATGATGAGTTATATAGAAGATATATATATATATATCTTCTTTCATCTTATATAAGTTGGGTAATGAATAATATAAATTGTACTTTACGGCTAAACATTCCTGATACTGCTTTTGATGGGCATGTATGTTTGCTATAATCTGAGAGGGTGTAATCGATGGGAGCTAGGCACTGGCGTGGGTACTGGGTTGCGACATCTCAATGATATTAGGTGATAATATTGCGCAGGTAGTCAGAGTAAGTTGGTCGGGCAGCTTCTCTTTTGTTTCTTAAGCGTTGGTGAGCGATATTACTCACTCTTCGTCTGAGTTTCTTATTATCAAGGTACTGGTAATAAGGCTTCGGTTTGATTTTTAACGGTGGCTTGAGACCAATGACATAATATTTATTCACAGTTTGTGATAGAGGAGGTTCTTCTATTATTTCCGTCACTGGTGCAGGGTCCTGATTACTTTCCGGTTTTCTTGATATTTCTTTATATATTTTTACCTGATAAAAAAAAAGATTTTCTTGTGATTTAAGTAACTTTAAGATTTGCGAAAATTTTATTTCGATGTCACTATGACTCCTACTTGTTTTGACCACCTACATGTTTTTAACTATTTTGAACAATAATAAATTTTCGTCCGTACCTGTATAAATCCACCGAGTGAAAAAATATACATTTCCGTCATTTTTTTCGTAAAAAATGTCTCTTGGTAAAAATCGCTACGAGCAACCGTTCTCAAGATATTTAGAATTAAAATAGTCATTACATGTCATTATTGAAAAAAAAATAAATATGTTGAGTAGATAGTTATTTGAGTGAAAAAGTATATTTGAGAATTTTTTATTTTCTTTCAATTGATCATAAATTTTCCTACAAAAAATTATGATAAAACTCTGTTTCTGTTGAACTTTTGGCACAAAACCACCTTAAATTTATTATTTCAGTTTAAAATAACTATTATAGTCAGTTTAATTTTTGTCATTGATGGCAGGTATTGCTAATTTCTATTCCAAATATCTCAAAAACAATTACTCGTAGCGATTCTTGTCAAGGGACCTTTTTTTCGTTAAAAACGTCGTAAATGTATATTTTTTACTCAGTAGTTTTATATAACAGAGTTAAAGAGCTAAGAGTTACTACTCTCCAAACCTACAAAATATGTAGGTGGCGCCCTCTACAAGTAGGAGTCAAAATACCAATTTTCATCCAAATATCGACGTTAATTCAGAAATTATGTGGAACAAATCGAAATAAAAATGAAAATTCTACATCCCATATATCTCCGAAACTAACCATTTTAGGACATACATTTTATACGAATTTTTTACTTATTATTATCTGCAGAATATGCTGCCAAAGTTTCTAAAATACATTTCGGACTAGCCTGTATACAGGGTGAGTTTCCTACGATGTTCTCTATTGGTATCTCGGAAAGTATTGGAGATAGAGAGTCAGTTTTGTGGGGTCATAAATATGCGCTTTTTAGAATTTTGAAAAAGTTCATGGCTTACTCGATATTTTTAAAAAACAAATTTTGGCTACTTTAAAAATTGTCCCTAATTTCATTATAATCTATTTTAGACAAAAAGTTTTCAGATAAAAGTTGTAGATAAACACATCCCGAGACACATCCCTAATGAGTTCGTGTTCTCCAAAGGTGTTTTCGACATGTTAAGGGTCGGCATTTTTGGTCTTGGGTGCCGGTTTTCATGTGTACGAAGAGTATGGTTAACACGCTTAGTAAAATAAGATGTATTGAATAAAGACAGAAGGCGAGTATTTTCCCAAGCGCATGGAATCTAGCGTCAGATTAAGTAGTTATGTAATCGTATTTCGATTACTTCGTATTACCGAATACTCGAATATATTCGAATACTCGACTTCGTATTTTTGCTCACTCCGACTTACTAGATTGCCATAACGACTCACTCCTATACATGTAAACGCCGACCCAAAGGTTCGCTTGCATAGGTTCGTTCCATGACACAAACATATGTTTTTTTTTAAATGGAAACCATAGTTGACCATGACTTCTTAAAAAACGCCATTTTTTAAGCTTTACAGCGATATAAGATATAATATGTTTCTTTCGAAAAATTACTGAGTTACGGTCAATCTTATTTTTTTTGACTAATTTCACTTAGTTGGCATCTTGGTTGGCATGGTGTTTTTACTTTGTTATGATTTATAAGTTATAAAAAAACAGAATATATTATTAAACGGTTGTTTACAATTTACATTACACAAACTAAAACTTAAAATATCACTACATACACTTTAAGTTATTTTAGAAAATGTTCAAAAAAATCCGCCATAGTTTTGAGAACATAAATGCATCTTTTTAAAACTGAATTACCTACTAGCTATTCTCACAGAACGACCGATCGACTTAATTAAACTTTTCCCGTACCGCCTCTTCGAAGTGCCTCTCTTAATTCATAAGTTCTTTTGTAAACCTCGTTTTGAACCGCATAAAAAAATATCTAAAATGGATAGATCAGGTGATCGAGGAGGCCCTTGCAATTGGCCCACCTCTTCCTATCCCTGAATTTGCATAATTATGATATAATTAATTAACATTTCTTTCATTATTGGGGGGGGGGGGTCGTAATGAAAATCATGTTGGAACCACTCTATTGATGCGCGATTTAACTTTTCTAACATGTCTTTGAAAATCGTTCTCTAGAAAACGTATAGTAAGTAACTTTCACCGGTCAACGTATCCTCGAAAATGTATGGCCAAGAAAAGTTGAACCAAAATCCTACACGCTTTTCTTCATCTGCAAAATTCATATTTAAAATTTTTGTTTATTGTAATTTACAAAATTTGGATGTGACAGTTTCACATTTCTGAGAGCAACGACCATTGGGCTTGTTTCCATGGCTAACTAAGTGAAATTAGTCACGAAAGATAAAAAACATTTAAAAACAGCTTATATCGCTGAAAAGCTTAAAAAAATGGCGCTTTTTATGAATTGATGGCCAACTATGGTTTCCATTTAAAAAACATATGTTTTTGTATAAGTCAAAAATAACAGGCTCTAGAAAAAATCGGGGAACACAAACTCATTACGGATGTGATTATCTACAACTTTTATCTGAAAACTTTTTGTAAATATATTATAATGGAATTAGAGAGAATTTTTAAAATAGCGAAAATTTATTTTTTCGAAATATCTAGTAAGCCATGAACTTTTTCAAAAATCTGAAAGGCGCATATTTATGCCCCTACAAAACTGCAATTAATCTTTCCCCATTTAACCGACTCTCAATCTCCAGTAGTTTCTGAAATACCCATAGAGAACATCGTAGGAAACTCACCCTGTAAAATGTTTGTTGTTTGAACTTACTTTCTTTGTAGTTTCAGTTTCGGAATCTTCCGTGCCGCCAATTATAGTTTTATATTGCCAATTTTCCGGTGGCACTAGTCCAATAACTTGTTCATTATCTTCAATATAATCTATAATATATGGACGGTGATTCATTGGAATTATTTGTTGGTCAGTGCTAATACTTTTTGTTGTGGTACTGGTAGTAGTGCTTGGTCGTCGTTCTATCTTATGTTTTCTTCGAGACGAATTAACAATTCCAGAAGGTTTAGTTTCAATATTCCTGATCGTGTTGCTATTATCGTTATTTTCAGTGTTAAACTCTTTTCTTCTTTTGTAGGTAGGTTGTTGTTCATTTTGTTTATTTACATGCGTCTTGCTAAACTTTGTTGCCCTATTAAGTTCCTCTAGATCTTCGATATTCTTGTTCTAATTGATTGAAATCAATATATAATTAAGCAAAAAATGTATACAAAAAATAGTTTAAACTTACGTTGTAGTTTGACGTGTCATCTTCATATTTTTTAACTCTAACAATAGGTATATGTTTGTGTTTATATGTATTTTGGGAAGCTGGTGCATAGTCCGTTTCTGAAAAATCGGATGCTGCATATATAGGTAACGATTCAAAATTACTCGAATTTTTAATGTTATTTAACACATCAGCAAATACATTAAGTTGTTCGTTTGGTTTTATCTCTTCTTTATAAAAGACTTCACTGATCACCTGAAAATTGATTTTATAATAAGTATTAGATAATGAAATATAGTTTATATTTTAGATAATTAAATATGATATTTTACATGTTTTGGTATAACGTATAGGGTTTAAAAACAACTTTGAGAAAGCTGAAAGTGATAAAATTTCTCATTTTAAAAAATTGAAGATATATCCCCTCGTAGACTAGATCGGCGGGATTGGCATAACAGATCGAGCAGCGGGACAGATCGTTTAAAAATACCTCTCGTGTGTGCCTACCTATTGTGTCTATTGTTCGCTTACCTTATATTTAGGCAGAACTGTACTTGGTCTCATATCAATCAGTGGATAGGGTGTGGTAGTCAAAAACTTATTTATATCAAATATTTGGTACATTGGTTTTCTCTTTCTATATCGAAGTGCTTGTGGTTCATTTATGACACTAGTACCATCAGAGGATTTATCTGTTATTTGATCTGGTTCATTTGAAATTTTTGGCCTTTCTTTTTGTGATTTATGCTCTTCATTGTTTTCTATTTCAGGTTCAATAACTAAACGTAAAAAAATATTTATTTGTCACTAAATAATATTGAAAGATTTTTAAAATATTTAGTTTGTTATATGTTACCTTTCACTATAAATGCTCTTTTTGGTTCTATTTGAGGTAATTTTGGAACTCTTTTGTTTTGGTTATTTGGAGTTGTATTTACTTTATCTAAAATTTGTTATAATTTTTTTATTATTTACAAAATATGACATTTTTATATAATGCACGTGTAGGATCTGTTACAACGAAAAATATAACAGTGACTTTTGGTTTTTGGTATCGTAATTCAAAAATAGATTGTTTTTTATAATTTTTTTAAGCCATCAGTCGAAACTATATAATCCTTCACTGAACAGACTACCATTGGGATAATATACTATTTACAAATCTTAATAATAAACTACCCTTAATATTTTATGTTACCTTTGGCTTCAGATTTAGATTCTCTTCTTATGTTATCGGACGAAAACCCTTTTGTTTTTAGACTCTTTTCTGCTTTGAGAACTAAATCTTTTTCAGCACCTTAAAAATATATAAATAGAACAATAATAATATTGAGTGTTTCTACTGAAAACTTCAAGTATTATTTCATATGCTATTTATCTAATAAATAGGATATGTTTTACCGTGTGGTCATTATAGGCTTATTGGTGCATTTCAACTAATGGTTTTGATTCGACAGCAGCGCTCAGCGAAAGGGCGGATAAAGAAATGTATTTTACGGGGGCCGAAATAAAAAAAAGTAATGTAGAATATGCTCTTTAGGGCGCCATTTTTAACCCAAAAGCTTAATATTTAATGCAATTTAGAGATTTTAGGGGGGAGGGGTGTGGGCTGCATATTTGTAAACGACGGTTCTAGGCCGAACGATACCACGTAAACAGCATACGATATCGCAAACCCGTCTGATAAATAGCATTCGTGATTCCAAATTTGAACTGCCTTAACACCTCTTATAAACTGCAAACGATATCGCGAAATTTGTTAATGGGTTGCTGGTAATCAGCATTCAGGATCGCAAATTTTGTTTGTCAACGCAAATTAAAAGCTCCAAAAATCAAAAAAGGAGTGTTTTCAAGCGGCCACCCCTTCTAATGACAACCATGCATATTGCTGCTTAACTGTGGTGATAGTACGAAAAAATACACGTCAATGTGCTGTTGATTCATAAAAATTTCGATTATTATAGAGGATTATAAATAAAAACCTAAAATCGTGTCGAGAAATCAACAGAACATAGATTCCCAGATGACACTATTTTATGTTCATCGAACTTACATACGTATGCAAGTTACTTAGTCTATTACAAAATAGATATACAGGGTGTCCCAGAAATAAGTGCAAATATTTTAAGGGGTGGTAGATCTCGATAAAAGAAACATATTTTCTCTTTGTCGTTTTTCAAATAAGTCCAAAATAACGGAGTTATTTTACTTTGAAAATTTCCAAAAAAAATGATTTTTTGCTAAAATTTTGACACTGGATCTTTTCTGGATTTACTTTCTTGTAAATTTAATCTAGTACCTATGTTTTCATATTATCAAGAAATTATGTTTTTTAACTAAAAACTAAAAAAATTTCTCAATTTTTTTTTTCGCGAAAAAAACCTCATAGGCGTGTTTCTCTATACTAGCAGTTAAAATATTTGCACTTATTTCTGGGGCACCCTGTGTAATATATTTTCCATAGAACTCAATATAAATTTCTAAAACCTAACTTTTCTTTAAAAAAAAAGATGTATCCTCAACTATAAAAATTATTCAAGAATGAACTAAGTTACAATCTTCTTCTAACTAACCACGCATATTGCTGCTTAACTGTGGTGATAGTACAAAAAAATTGGCGCCGGAAGGCACGTATAGCCACCCATACTAAAATATGTTAATAAAAAGTTGGTAGGCAGTTCTTTTAGTTTCAAAGTAAAGGCATTTTTCCAATCTTTTATATCTCAAAAACTGCGACTTTGACTGATTTTGATGATATTACCAATTTTGTTGTAAATATTATTTCTAATCTTAAATTGAAAACCGCGTTTCGCTAGCTACTGTAATTCTGGAGTTACGATTTTTTTAAATTTTTAACCCCCTCCTATACCCCCTTACCAATCCCCCACCCCTACCAAAAACTAATGGCCAGATTATCGGGTGCCACTGTATTTTTGTGCCAAATTTCGTTAAAATCGGTTTAGCGGTTTTTGAGTTATCGTGTTACAGACAGACAGACAGACAGACACCATGAAAATATTTTTTATTTACTTAGGTCATTTATGACCCAAATAACTCATTTTGAGTGAAATTAAAAAAACTTTTTTTTGCCGATCTTAATAGCCTACCATACCTGTTGGTATGGTCGGCTAAAAATACAGGTCAACGTGCTGTTGATTCATAAAAATTTCGATTGTTATAGAGGATTATAAAGTAAAACCTAAAATCGTGTCGAGAAATCAACAGAACATAGATTCCCAGATGACACTATTTTATGTTCATCCAACTTACATACGTATGCAAATTACTTAAAACAAAATAGATATACAATATATTTTCCATAGAACTCAATATAAATTTCTAACACCTAACTTTTTTTTAAAAAAAAGATGTGCCCTCAGCTATAAAAAATATTCAACAAGGAACTAAGTTACAATCTTCTTGTACTAGAGAATGTCAAATGTTTCTTGCAAAGAAACCTATAGAAAGTGTAGTTTTTGTTTTAAAATTTTGAAGCAAAGCTGGTTATTCTCTAAACATTGGGTAAAATGTCCTGGAAATTTAAAATATTTTGCATCTTTATTCATTTCAGTATTTCAGCATTCATTTTTTGGTTTCGATTTATAATCTAATTTTTTTAAGTTAATTTGTTTTGGGTAATTACTCTTGTTAATTTCTGTAACTTACCTCAATTTCTTCCTTTTTAGCGAAACGTGTTCTAATAATTTCTGTACTTATTAATTTATATACTCGTGGTTTGGGGGCAAATTATTTTTTTTGCAAAATATTGTTTAGTACTATATTCTTTGGTAGACATCTTGCACTTGCGAATTTTGCGATCTTGAATGCTGATTACGAGCAACCAATCAACAAATTTCGCGATATCGTCTGCTAATAGCTGTATCTAAGGAGTTAATGCTGATAAAATTTGGAATCGCGGATGCTATTTACTAGACGGATTTGCGATATCGTATGCTGTTTAGGGTACGAACATAGTGGAGGCAGGTTTCTGCTTTCCGGCAACCAGCGCCGTCTCTGGGGACCTATTCTTGACCACTCGCATCTTCAAATATCGCTCGCATCTCGCATCTCCTAAAAAAACATATAACAATACACAGATGCGTAACTTTGCGTATATGCATCACGTGTATTGTATATGGCTATTTCGGAGATGCGAGAAGGATTCGGAAGTAGATAATTAAGAGGAAATTTACCTGATTAACTAACCTAACCTAACCAAACCATATTCAAACGCCGCGCCCGCCTCGCCGGGGCCACACATAGATGTATTTGGTCTATAAACCTGACCAAAAGTGATATTTTTTTATTTTCATTTTTCTTAACTGAATACAAATCTATAAATACTAAATGTAAGCACGTTTATTAGTTATTAGCTTTTTTAAGTCGTAAGTTGACTGTCAAATAAATAATATATTTCAGTTAAAAGCATGATACAAAGAATACAAGGTATGATATTGCGCAGGTTGGTCACTACGTCACAGGTGATAAACAGCACCATTGGTCGGCAAGCTCTGCGCGCCAATTTCAGATTGTCAAACAGATTGTGTCATCTGTGAAATTTGATTGTGTCAAAATGTGAAAATAATTTTTCAAATGTCAAGCTCGATGATTTGACATAACTTTTGGGGTTATGTCCTAATTCTTCCCTATTTTAGGTCTTTTTTTATTAGTGGCAATTGAACAATATGGATATTTTTTTGTATGGCGTATGACGTCACAGGTGGTATGCGCAAACTTAACGAAATTGGAGCCGCTATCGATCATACCTTGTTTTCTTTGTACCATGAGTTAAAAGTATGAATTATCTTGAGTGTATTCTGAATATTTCTAAGATTATAAAAATAGTGGAATTGTTTGTAGTGCTTTTTCTGCAAATTGTTCATAATAACTGTCATGATGGATACAGAGCCAGCTTTGTTTGTTTGCTCTGTTCTGTTTTATGCCATATTTTTATTTTGAAACGTTTCCTTCTATTCTATTTTTTTATAATGTTTTATATTTAAAAAATCAGAGGCATTTTTATAAGGTGTAAGACTATTCGGCAATATTCCGCATGGAAATTAGTATCCGTTCAATGCTTAAAGTCTCCAGCTTTGGAATATGTACAAAAATCTTGCCAATATTTGCCACTGCCAAAAAAAACATTGATTTAAATAGATTCTTAAAGGAAATAGTCTTTACCCTATAACACCCATCCTCGCTCAAATATCGTCTATAATATACAAATTACTTTCTTGTTCTAGCATCCTCATCCAATTGCTTGGTTTTGCACAGAATGGCCCTATTTGATCGGTGGAAAGGGTTTCAGAATAGAGGAAAAAATATTGTGTAGGAAAAACAAAATGAGGTTCCATATTAGCACCCTCTCCTCTAATAATTAATATTACTAGCAAAAAAGCAAAAAAATCATAAAACATAATTTTGGCCAACTTTTAGTTCTTAATACCCTCTGTGCGCCGTCGGCGCCTGCAAAAGCAGAAATAAATAAATTTTCGTTCCGGTAAAAGCGAGAACGCCGATGAACGCTGGTTGACGGCTCCTACCTGCTTTCACTGTGAACTAGCCGATTTGATAACACGCTTTAATTTTTCAAGGTTATAAGCGCGAGGCGGCGCGGCGCGGCGCTACTATGTAACCATATACAGGGTGTCCCAGAAATACGTGCAAGTATTTTAACTTAACTGGTAGTATAGTTCAACCCCAGAAACACGCCTATGAGGTTTTTTTCTAAATATTTTTTTTTGAAAATTCGGAATTTTTTGAAAATATTTTTGGAATTTTTTTGCAATTTTTTTTAGTTTTTATTTAAAAAAATAATTTCTTGATAATATGGCAACATAGGTAGTAGATTAAATTTATAAGAAAGAAAATCCAGAAAAGATCCAGTGGTTCTCAAACAAATCTCGAAGTATTGGAAAGAATATGTAAGGACCAAGAACTATTGACTACAATAAAACGACGAAAAGCAGCATATTTTGGTCATATTTTTCGAAATAACAAATATAGTTTCCTACAGCTGATCGTTGAGGGAAAGATTGAAGGACGACGAGGCATCGGGCGTAAACGGTTTTCCTGCATGCGGAATTTGCGCCAGTGCCATGGTTTAATATAGGAGAGGCAAGTGCAATTATCCGTTTGGCTCAAGACAGGGAGGAATTCCAATTGATGGTCGCCAACCTCCGATGAGGAGAAGGCACATGAAGAAGGTTCTCAAAATTTGAGCAAAAAATCATTTTTTTTGGAAATTTTCAAAGTAAAATAACTCCATTATTTTGGACTTATTTGAAAAACGATAAAGAGAAAATATGTTTCTTTTATCGAGATCTACCACCCTTTAAAATACATGCACTTATTTCTGGCATACCCTGTTTATAACAATACACGTGATGCGTATACGCAAAGTTGCGAACGATGTCAAGAATAGGTGCCCAGATTGGCGCTGACTACCAGTAAGCGGCAAACCTGCTTGCACTGTGTTCGCACACTTACGTGGCATCGTTCGGCGGAATTTGGCCTAGAACCGAATCGCGATCATGGACGTTGTTTACAAATATGCGACCGGGCCCCAAGGGCCCCCCTCTGTATCCGCCACTGGCTCGTGCATACATGGGATTTTCTATGTTTCCAACAACCTGGTATAGGAAACATTTGACCACTAACGCTATCTATTAAAATATTTATACAAACCGTTTCTTTCTAATTTTGTAACCGGCTCCGTGTATTTTAAAATTCTTCCTTTTCTTGTTTCATGTCCTATTTGCTTATTCTTTGGAAAAGATTCTGTAAGAATAAACTTATTAAATAGTTAATATTTCTACAGAATTATCAGTTATTTACCTTGGGTTCCATAATTTTTATTAATTCTATCACCATCGGGAGCTATCGTTGTCGTCTTATGAACTGATTTTTTCTTTGAATTTTCTAAATCAGAACTTTTTTTTGAAGCGGACGAAGTTGTCTGTTCGGTAGGTAAATGATCTAATAATTTTATCTGATCATAAATATTATTTGGAGTTAGTTTTATAGTATATCTAGGAGTTGTAATCAGAGATACTACAGCCTCAGTAGCAGCTTTATGAATTTTAAATGGTGAAGGCAGTATGGCATTCTTGCGACTTGTTGATGGGTTATCTACTTTTGTGTTAGTTATAATACTTGCTGCTTCCTGGATATTTGATATACCACTACTATTCCCTTTGATATGTTCAACCGTTGCTTCTATGGATGTATCAGGAGAGACTGTTGGTTCATTTTCAGATGGTCTCTCATCTACTTCGTTATTTATTTCTTTATCTACAAAAGTTTCTTTCGGGACTGTAGGCATATTTTTTAACGTTCTAACTGTTTTATCCAACTCTTCAAATATGGATTGAACAGGGCCTACATTTTTCTCTTTAAAAATTGGATTGTCAAGAGGATTTGTTCCAAAATATCTAAAATTGAAGTTCGTGTTACCGACATTGTTCAAAATCGTTGGAAATTTTTTGGTAATGGATTTTCTCTATCAAAAAGTGAGCACACTAAACTATACCGGGTGCGTCTCAAAAGTGGCTCACCTCTATAACTTTTTTATTTTTTCAGATAATAAACGAGATTTGGTATGTGAGTATATGACATAAATTGGGAGTGATTAATTTATACAATTATTATTGTTTTTGGTCATTTCCTGTTTCACCGGAAATGATGACAACTTTTGATTTTAAATTTCAACCTAGAGTGCCATGGTTGTGTTAGAAATACTAATTTTTAATCAAGGAGCCTTGGAAAAATAGATTTGATCGTCTAATGTTTTTCGTGTCTTCTCTTGGCCTATTAAAAGATGCCGAAATCGTTTTTTTAATCATATCTCATTTTTTTAAATGGAACAAGGGTGGCTCATTGGCATATTTGAAAAAAAAAACATTTTTTACGAATAATTTGGTACCACACACTTGGTATTTCGAGTCAAACGAAAGGGGTGGCTGCAATAACCAGACAGCTCCATTTTAATAAATTTGTGGGAAATCGAAAAAAAGCATGCGGTTCATAACGACAATTTGACTCTAAATAACAATTGTGTGATACCAAATTATAAAAAAGCGCTTTTTCCAAATATGCTAATCTGCCCATTTAAAAAAATTGGGATATTATTAAAAATACGATTTGAGCATCTTTTAACAAGTTGTAGTCGATTAATTCTATTTTTCTAAGGCTCCTTGACTAACAATTATTGTTTTTAACACCATGTTTGAAACTTAATATACGATTTTTTTTAAACTGAAAATTTCAAAATTTGATATATGATGTCATTCTATCCAGAGTCTCATTGTCTATCGAATGAAGTAAAAAATCTAGGGTGCTGTTTAAAAATCAAAAGTTAAAGTAGTTATTTCCGGTGAAACAGGAAGGGACCGAAAACAATTGAATACGTCGATCAATCCTAATTTATGTCATGTACTAACATACCAAATCTCGCTTTTATTCTCTGAAATAATAGGTATAAAATTCATAGGGGTGAACAACTTTTGAAAATCACCCGGTATATTATAACCTAAAATTCACAGACTTTTTAATTAAATATTTATAATACGATAGATAAAAATTAGTTCAGATCATCATAATTTTTAATTAAACTATTAATTTTGAATAATAATGTTACTCCATTGTGCTCTTTGAATAAAAAGATTAGGGAAGAATTATATAATGGTATTCATGTATTCATGCATGGTGGGCGGAAAAAGGACTCTAGGGTGGGGATCCTTGACAGTTCTGTTTGGCGATTCATTTGACACATTTGAATTCGACTTGAATTTTGGTCAATCTTTACCTTTGGTCTCTACTATTATTCACTTACTTTGGTGAATTTTTCAGTCTTTACCGAGCTTATGTTATTTATTATTTATTTTGCTACTGATAGTTGTATAAAGGTAGTAAATCTAGATGGAAATTGTGGCAGAACTTAAATTAACAATGACAGTATTGCGATTTATCGAACATGACTGTAAAATAGTGGGTTGTGTAGCGTGCGGTAGATCTCGGTCAAAAATCGAGTGAAATAATGAAAATATATTATATATCACTGAATATTATTATCGTCTTGACATAATACTCGTATTATAACAGAATCGATTTGTAAATGTGATTAACTTTTATTAGTAATAGAAGAAATAATTAGCATTTGTTATAGTCTTAATTGTAAAATACATACAATTTAATTTTGGTTTATACCATATGCCATATTTATTTACCTTGTTTTAAGACAGTCTATTTTATCTCCTAGTTCAGTTATCCTTGGTCCTTTTGGCGTAACGAATTCATTGTCAGTTTCATTATCCCCATTGTCTTCATTTTCGTCATCATAGTCCTCTTCCTCTTCTTTTGCATTTCTTACATGATCTGGCACGGGATCTATGTTTTGTGGTATGTCAGGACATTCGTGTCTATCGGCCGTTTTATAAAAAGATAATTCGCCATCTTGTTTTACTGGTACGTTATTTATATTCTCCGCATATCGTAAAGGAGAATCTTGGTTCAAATCTGAAAAAACAAGTTAATATTTTAATTTTAAATATAGTTTCAATTACTTTAAAATTGTTAAATTTCAATAGTAACAGAAATAATTTAGACATGCAATACAGGGTGGCGCACCTCATTCGTCTCGGTTTATTTCATTTTTATATTCTTGGCTATAAAATAAGACATTTATTATAAGGGTTTAATATGTTTAGATGCTTTGGTTTTTGAGAAATTTAAAGATATTTAAATATGCATGCAATAAAAAAGTTTGTCAACTTAATTCTGAAAAGTAATGTTAATGTACAGGGTGGGTCAAATTCGACGCTTTTAAATGGAAACACCCTTTTCTATAGCAGATAGACGAAAACTAATATCGGTGTCTGGAGCTCAATTTTCACCAAAAACATGATGGTGAAAACCGCACATCAATACGATTTACCGTTTAGGAGTTACGGGGTGTTTTTCAAAAATGTGCATTTTTAACAAATCGCTGTAACTTTTTTGCTATGGAAAATTTTGTATTTCTATGAAAACATTTCCAAAGCACCTTTTTACGTAGAATTTAATGGTATAAGTATATTTTTTTTAAAATTAATAATTTGAGAGTTATCAACGGAAAAATTGATTTTTATTTGGGACACCCTCTATATTTTTAATTAACCGAAAAGAATTTAAAATTATCTTTCCAAAAATATAGCACACTTGATATTTTGTTATATTCCCCTTCGATATACAGAATTTTTAAAAGTTTGCCACTTTTAACTAGTAGGCTTTGGACCCCTTATTGATGATATGCCCTTAATGAAACTCGAAAAAATATTTTTCCAGCAAGAAGAGGCACCGCCTCAGAACGCTGAAGTTATCAGCAAATTTTTGCAGCCAATTTCAAGAATAATTGAATAGCTAACCAAGATCCCAGCCGTTGGCCGTCGAGGCCGCCTGACTTAGTGCCCATGGATCTAATCCTATGGATATATTTGCGGAAAAATAAAGGTTCCTTATTCTTCCGTATAATCTAGACAAGAATTAGAAATACGTAGCAGTTATGAGAGGGTATCTCTCACCCCCACTGAGTTAATGAATTCCGCGAGAAATGTTCAGAAACGGCCCCGTCTGTCCATAACAGAAGACGGTCGAACACCTGCAGCAAAATCTCATGTCTTGGTTTGCTATTTATTTTTATTGTTATCAGATATAGTTTAAATGTGTTGATGTTGGTTAAATATATTTTAAATTGTTATAAAATTCTGCATCTCTCATATTCTCTAATATTATTTTCGTTTTAATTGATGCTCACAGCTAGAATTTTTTGTATTACAGCCGGTGCCATTCAAAGCCTACTTAATTAAAGCGGGCGAATTTTTGTATACTCTATATCTCGAAGAGGAATCGAGCAAAATATCAAGTGTGTTATATTTTTGGAAAGTTAATTTTAAATTCTTTTCAATAAATTAAAGATATATAGGGTGTCTCATATAAAAAATCAAATTTTCTGTTGATAATTCTTAAATTATTAATTTTAAAAAAATTATACTTAAACCATTGAATTCTACGTAAAAGGTGCTTTGGAAATGTTTTCATAAAAATAGAAAATTTTCCATAGCAAAAAAGTTACAGCGATTTGTTAAAAATGCATATTTTTGAAAAACGCCCCGTAACTCCGAAACAGTAACAGATATCGATATGCGATTTTCACCATCATGTTTTTGACAAAAATTGAGCTCCAGACACCGATATTAGTTTTTGTCTATCTCCTATAGAAAAGGGTGTTTCCATTTAAAAACGTCGAATTTGACCCACCCTGTACAAGGCGTTGACAAACTATTTTATTATAGCATGCATATTTAAATATCTCAAAAACCAAAGCTTTTAAACATATCAAACCCTTACAATAAATACCATATTTTATGTCCAAGAATTCAAAAATAAAATAAAATACCGGGTGTGTGTGTGTTCCACAAGAAAAAATATAAATTAAGTATGGATCTTAGTTCTGACACACCCTGTTCATTTCAAAATAGTTTTAAATAAATTATGCACATTGCCTTCCCAGATATACCCATAAAATATTTTGTTTCTACATCTTTCTGTTTTCGTATAATGAACCGAGGCAAATGAGGTGCGTTGCCCTGTATAACTTACCAGATCTTTTATAATAGGGATACTTTTTTGTATCAAGCTTTTTTTCTTTCTTTTTTGGTTCAAATTTATGTTCAATTTTGTCTATGAACTTTGTATCTACATTAACATCTTCGAACCAAATTTCTGGTGATCTTTTTTTCCGCTGGATTTTTGTTTTGATTGATTTAAGTTTCGATATATCTTCTGAAAAAATGTCCTCTCCATATTTCTTTTCAAGGGGGTTAATCTCTACATTTTCTGGTATGTAAGAAGGCTTGGATGATTTATGAATATCGCCAACATCAGCAATAAATTGTTCAGATTTCCCTGAATTAGTGTTATTTGTGTTATCGTTGTACTTTGATGATATAGATTTTTGTTCAATCTCTTTTCCAATTAAAGAGGTAATATTAGCCGTATTATTTTGTTGTCTGGATATATCTTTCAATATCTTGGGGTATATTTTAACGTATTTATGGGCTTTGGTACTATTATTTGGCTGCATAATCACTTTCACCTCGCTTTCAATTTCAAGTTGAACATCCCCATTACTCTTGTCTTTCACATGTGTAGTCTTTAATTCCTGAGTGTTAATAAAGTTATTGTTTTTGTTCATGTTTGCTTTTGTATTAACGAATTGCGGTGGTTCATAATCTTCACTGGCATTTTCTTGATTGTCTATAGGTAAATATGCACTGTCTGCTGGTACTGAATCTTCAAGTTGTTTTTCGAGATTTTCTAAACCAGAAAGATATTTTAAAGAAATAGTTATTGAAACAAGATTTACTTATATTAACTTGATAATTGCCTAAAGATACTCCGTAAATATTAGTCGGAGTCACTCAACCATGTCACACTTAGATTAAGAATATGTCACATGATGGCTTCCGACGACTGCATTGTGCGCTGATTTCTCCAAACATGTTCTACGACATGGGATTACGCGATGACGCTTATTGCTATTTTGTTTTGCGTTAAGCCATTTTCTTTCAGCGAGCTCTATTTATTTAGCCTTGCATTGACATCAAGGATATGTGGAAGCCGCTCATCAACGGTCTGAAGGAGTTGAAGCAACTATAATTTCGTCGTTCGTTAATTAATTGGGCATGTTTCCGTGACCCCGACTAGTATTAAAGGAACAGCATGTTTCCTAAGTAATCGAGTGGTATGATTTTTAATTTATGATTTTTTTCTGGTATGTTTTTAAGAAAAAGATTGTGTCCAGGTATTAAACCAATTTTTTTCTTTAATCGTTATTTTTCTATTTAAACTAGTGTCGTCCGTACACACACACCACTATTATTTCATTAAAATAAACGATAAATCACTGCTTTTTTTCCAAAACAATATTATTTTTTTCTTAATTGTCCATCATTTCTAAACGAGATTGATTTCTTGAGATTGTTTTTGTAAATCGGTTTTCGAGAAAAAAAATCAACCAAAATTATTCATGTATGCTCGTTTTCTACCGATTTTGAGAATGCGAAGTTGTAGTTGTTTTAATTTAATTTTAAGTTTAAAACTATTCAATGTACAGGGTGTCCCATTTTAGTTGAAATCATATGGTATCTCCGTTATTCGTGAGGATAGAAGGGTGCGGTTTGCACAAACCTGTGCCATTTTTTTGTCAAACAAAAGATGCCGTAAACAAAATTTTCATAGCCCTCTTCGTTTCTGACCTACAGGGTCTTTCTGAAAATTTTGCAATTTGGGACACCCCCGGTATCTCTGTTATTGTTAAAGGTATCGAGAAGGTGAAACATATTTATTGTAGAACTTTTTACGTAGAATACAGTGGCGTAGTCGGTTATTCTATGAAAATAATATTTTTAAAAATATGAATTAAAGTTATGCTTTCTTAAATGGAACACCCTGTATATTTATAAATTATATGATCTGGCTTGCCATAAGCTTCTGAAAAATATATATCACTCTATATTTATTTTCAATATTTACTGCAATATTTAAGAAATATATTAAAAGATAATATTTATTAGTAGGCCATGATTGATAATAAAGGAAACTAAAGAATTATTAAAAGTATACTGCTGTCTCTTGTTTTATTTTGAGAGCCACTAATAAATTCTTTATATATTAGGGAAACTTAACTTTCTACCGCTATTTGTAAATCTTGGAAGCTATCGTACCGGAACTTTTAAATATTCCTTTAGCTAATTTACGTGAAATATACTTTCAGCCCCCCCCCCCAAGATGGAACTCCCCTTAACTTACAACGAAAATATTAGAATTTTGTTAAACTATTATTTCTCAAATCAATGAATAATTGAGAAACCAATGGACCCATATGATGGAGGCCATCATATGAACCCATATGATGGCGCCTCCTTGGAGTTGTCCTTTCTCGATTTCTGATTTTGGTGATTTTTGAAATTTGAAATATATCGTGGCAACTAACACAATGTTAAACACCTGGAAAATTCTTTATTAATGCAAGCTTTTAGATATTTGCAAACCCATCGCTTTATAATTAATTCCGTTAAAAAAAAGAAAAATATATTCAGATTGAGTGATACTTAACAGTTCAAAAGTAAAATATATCAATTCCAAACAATATTTTAATAAGTGTATGACTATTTTAGTAAATATTATTTTTGATTTTTTGTTATTTATCACGGCCTACTAATAAGAAAACGATATGTTTTAAATATTTCCGTAAATAGTGAAAATAAATATAGAGTGATATATATTTTTGAGAAGATCATAGCAAGGCGGATCATATGATTTATAAATATACAGGGTGTTCCATTTGAAAAAAACATAAGTTTAGTTCATATTTTCAAAAATATTTTTTCCTTAGAAAAATAGACTACGCCGCTGTATTCTACGTAAAAAGTTCTACAAGGATCAGTTTTCACCTTCTCGATATCATCCATAATAACGAAGATACGGGGACTGTCCCAAATTGCAAAAGTTTCGAAAAGACCCTGTAGCTCAGAAACGAAGAGGGCTATGAAAATTTTGTTGGCAGCATCTTCCGTTTGACAAAAAAGTGGCACAGGTTTGTGCAAACCACATCCTCCTATCTTTACTAATAACGGATATACCGTATGATTTCAACTAAAATGGGACACCCTGTACAAGAAAAACTCAAGATGTCAATTTTGTTAAAAAATTATTGCCAATCAAGAAAAAAAAGTGTTCTTGAAAAAAAGCGGTGACGTGTCATTTATTACAAGGAGGAAATTTGATTTTTTAAATTTTTTACACCTTTTTAAGTTTTTAAAGTTTTTTACACAGTATTATTTAGACTAGCCACTTAGAAAACACCCACATGTGGCATCAAAGAGTGAAACTCGTTATTCCCTGAAATACCTAGGAAATTCACGTACTACCGACAAACGGTATAACCCTTCATTGGTACATTGTTTGGGACTGTAGATCCCAGTTGTTCACTGTAATGAGTGAATATTTCAGTGAAATGCTGTAATTAAGTAAACTATTTAAGTTATCCTGTTTGCCGGATTATACTATCCTTGAACTTTTGAAAGTTTTTTTTTGTAATAACAATACCTATTTAAGATAAAAAATATATTGACAGGGACATGTTTTCATTATCCGCATTTTTGTAATAGAAAATAGAATATTTTAAAATTGGACGTATATGTATATGTCGTAGTCACATTAGTGTATTCCGTCTTTTCGTGGCGTGAAGATCCTAGTCACTTCATGAAGCGTCGGTTAGAATAGCAGGCTAGTTATGTTGTTAGGTTAGTTTTTTTCATTAAGTGACTAGGCTCTTCATGAAAAGACGGAATACACTATGAGACTACGACATATACCTATATTAAATTTAAAACACATACTCCTATAATTTTTATTATTACCGAAACGGTTTGTATGTGTAATAAAGAACAAATATTTCTGAGAACTAACTAGTCGCAGAATTTAAATAAATTCAGTGGTACAATACTAATAAATCAGTGTTTTTTTTTTCGTTTCTAGTAGGTAATGAAATCAGTCGAAACTGTTCAAACTGAAAAAATCACACTATACATAATGTTTCTACTTTACCAAGAGAGATGAGTGCACCAAGTATTTTTCCGTAAACATTCAAATTAATATGTATCACTATATTTTTGTCGTGTTACACATGACCACAGTGTACGAATTTGAAGCGAGTTTGTAGATTATTGCAGGTTGCGGTTATTGTTTGAAAACTTGTAGAAATTATCTCAATTCCTCTACGTTCCAAGGCCTTAGTTTTTATTTAAATAATAATCATTTATTTTTTGTAAAATAAGTCTAAATACATGTCGTGACATGTCTATTTTCACATAAAATTCACTTATGCAATATATGTGTAATCGAAGAAACAATTCCGTCAAAACAGGGAATGCCTGAAATCTGCAGTCAAACGATTTACGGTAAAGTATTTCCTAAAGATAATGTCTTAGGGCAAGCTGGCAACGATGATAAAATTCATCATGGCATGGCATCCCGAATTCAACCAATCTGATTGGTCCAGATGTTCTTACGTTTTGTCGCCATTACCCCCTACTAGGTGCTCTATTAGTAGTAGAAACAGTAGAAATAGTCACTACTATTGAAAAATGCAGTGGTGGTGTTATTGTATTGTCTTTTATGCATATAGACTTAAAACATATTTTATTTTAAGTCTATGGTGCCTTTAACAAATATTTATATACCTCATATTTGGCCTATTTTTGGCAAATCACTAAACAAAATGTAGGTACATTTAAAATAAAATAATATTATAAAGTTTACCGGAATAATATATACAGGGTGAGTCTTAAGAGCAAATATTTTCAGGGGTTGTATATTTCGACACGAGGTTTTTTTTTCGCAAAAAATTGAAGAAGTTGAAAATTGTCCATTTTCTTTTAAGTTTTCCTGTATATTTTTCGAAAGCTTTTTAGAACTGCCTGTTCACTGCAAATTTTCCCACGGTATACTCTGTTTTTTTTCTCAGGTAAGATTTCGACAGACGATGACAGAAGAAAAGCAGATGACGTCCCATACCAATCTATTTATTTTACTAAAAAAAGTTTCTAATAATTTTTAAGTTAATTATGGGTCGGTTTAAATATAAGTTCGTCATGCGTCGTCACTTGTTGTTTTTAATCAGTTTTATTGGTTTATTTCAAAAATGACAAATCGTATTTCAATTTTATTGGGTTGACGGGACGATGAACGACAAACGGACGCCGATGCGTATGAACTCGCCTTTAGATTTTTGACGTTTGTCAAAGTCTGTCTTTTGAAGTCAAGTGGAGGAAAAATCGAGTGAAAATTAACTGTAGAACCCAGAGCACAGTTTATGGTTAATACTCGCTGCCCAGGCAGAAAGTCTTATACAGATACACCAATAAAGTTACTATTAATAAAGTTCGTATACCATCTCGTCGTAGATAAGTGCATCTCGAATATGGTAGAAGGACCATACTAAACCCATACTAAAAACTGGAGTAGCTGTAAAATATCGACATCACACGATAGGTAAATAATGGATTTTAGCACTGCAGAAAAAAATGTCAAAAGGTACTGGTTTAAAAAATTTAGATTAAAGTTATTTAATCAACCTGTGAGGTATAAAATTTGGTAAGTGTTATTATTAATAAAATAGATTGTTTTACTTATGTTATTTTATTTATTCCTGCGGAATATCACAAATTTGTATTTGTACATAAGTTATATTGATAAAATATAATCATAAATGCGGGATGTTTCATAAAGCTTGAAAGTAAGAAATAGTTCTTTTTATATTTTTTGGTATGTGGTGTCTTGTTTTTGTTTGTTTTGTATTAACACATACCGTTTTTTTATTAAATAAAATAACTCGATTACATTTTTTTCAGTTTTATGCAGTTTTATTCACAATATTTTGAAGTTACTTGTCAGTCAAATTTTAAATACATATATTAATTTCCTGCTATGCGTTCCAGTTGTACCAACTTATTTCTTTGTAAAATAAAATAAACTACTTTGAAATTAAAATGACAGACACATCTATCACTGTCAAGGATCTTCTCGTTGGACAGACTATATAATTTCTTAATCTCTGATATTACCTTATTACCATAGTTACGGCTATACTCTACGGTTACGGCTTACGGCACTAAAAGGGATGCAAATACAGAAAAAATCCGGCGGCTTTCAACATTTTTTCAAAAAAAATCACTTTTTTAAATTTTCAAACTTAAATAACTCGGTTATTTCGGACTTATCTGAAAAACGGTAAAGAGAAAATATGTTTCTTTTATCGAGACCTACCAGCCCTGAAAATATTTGCACTTATTTAAGACTCACCCTGTATATTTTCATAAAACACTTCACGCTCCTTACCGTTGCCCCGTTGTTTCAGATCCGTTAGTCAGACTGTACAATGGTTGGCGGCAATACGTATGAAACAACTGGGCAATTCAGGGAATGACGGAATTAAAGTCGATACATCGTGCGATGTAAAAATTTAAATATTAACAATATCAGCGCAAGAAGATATTTTATTTTATAAGTATTCATTATTGTGTACCACTTTCAAACAATATGGACTCACCTGTCTCTAAAACTTTTTTTGATTGCCCTTCCTCGTTATCTTTAACTTTCTCTTTGTCTTTCTTGGGCTTGCTTTTTTCTGACTTGTATTTTAGTTTTTTAGCCAGACCTTCATCCTGTTCAGCTTTTTTAACGTGACCTGCATGGTCATAGGCGCTATCTTCATATCTATGTGATACAATATAATTAATTGTTTTTTTTTATATTTATTTTTTGATATACTTACCCTTCCTCACTGTAAACCGTATGAACTTTGGAATCCTTAATGAGTTCCTTAAGTCGACCAGTACCGGTTCGTGCTGGTTCGTAAGGCAAGTGTTTTTCGTTCTCGCTATTTCTTACTTGAGTGTACAATCTCTGTGGTACAAATTCTTCGACCTGATTATTAGGCTGGCTAATATGTCCATGATTTAATGTCTCTTGGTTCCTGTTATGAGGGTCATGGTGTACATACGGTTGAAAAAATGTTTGTCCAGGAGCCTGCTGAATACTGACACGATTACTAGGCTGTTCAGGACCATTATTTTGATGGCCATATTCTTGAAATGGATCGTATACTACCAGTGGAGTTACTTCCTTAGGTGGTTTTATTTCACCTAATAAAAATCGAACGATTAGTCATGTTGTAAATTAAATTACCAAATTATAAGCAGGCATATTTTTTTAAATACACTACTCAAAATAATTATCGCATATTGGAAAAAAAGTAATTATTACATACTTCTAAATGAAGGAAGGTTTTTTATTCATGTTTTTTAGACTAAAAATGTTTTATTTAATATACCCGAAAGGAAAGCTATTTATAAAAAATGCAGTAGGCTGTTTGGTTTATGTTCGCAATTTTGTATTTTCCTCTATCATTGAAAGTTACAGATTATGTTGTGCATATCGGCAGTCGCCTTTCTGTTTATTGTGTAATTTTGTAAATAAAACTAAAATTAGATCTATTCGAAAGATGAATTGTGACATTTGACGGAAGGTGAAGCCCCAAACCGCTGTAACGCTATCAAACGAGGGGTATAGTCAAGTTAGGATTGCACAAATTCCACAATTAATGTTGATCAATCATCAATTAATAGAGTACTAAGACACTACAGGGAAACTCACAGTTATAAAAGACGTCATGGCCGAGGTAGACCAAGAGCTACAACAGCAGCCCAGGACCTATTTATACAATTAGCAACTTCGTGCAACTACTGCTAGAAACCTACAAAATGAAATTTTAATAGCTCGTCAGCTTAGGATAATTGATCAGACAGTAAGAAACGGATTAAGAGAACACCAGTTGAAACCAAGACGAGTGGTAACTGGGCCAAGACTCACACGGGAACATCGAGTAGCCAGATTAGCATTTGGAAGAGAACACCTGAACTGGACAGTTGCTGAATGGGTAGAGTACTGTTTACTGACGAGTCCAGATTTACTTTATCAGCGAACGATCGTCGTGTAGAAGGTATATAGAAGAACTGGAACCCGATTTCTTCAGTATAATATTCGTCAGTTGGATGCCTTTGGCGGAGGGGAGTCTGGGGAGGAATTAATATTCAAGCTCGCACTGAATTGCACTTTATCCGTAATCCAGAACCGCACATTGAATGCTGAAATGTACATTACAGACATTCTTGAAGACCATGTAATTCATTTTGCGTTATTCATTGCCGCTCTTTATGTTAGTTGTCCGAAACACTTTTTTTTTCGTTGGAGGGAAAAAGTCTTGCATAAGACACCCAAAGTTGGGGAGTGCCGGATTTCTACCGGCTAAAAAAAACCTCCTCCAGCCACCACTTTACACGTATCCGTTTGTAATCATCTCGCATTGTTTCAGTGCAAAGGGTGTCTAGATTTACCCTATCATGCTCTTTGTCTCTCTTCTCTCTCTTCACAGTTTTCTTTGCCTTCAACTAAGTATATCATAAATGTGGGTAAGTCGAAGTCTTTACCGGCTTCCATACGGAATTGTCCCTATAGCTCTAACTCACACGGTATGCTTTCACATTTTTGAACCTTATCAACCTGACCGCAGTAGCTGCATGATGCATATCAACCCTACAACGATCATACAAATATTTTCTAAAACACCCATGACCAGACAATGCTTGACTCATGAAGTAATCCACTTCTCCTTATGATATGTTCAACCATAATGAAATGCCGGGTATTAACTTGTATGTCCATCTGCCATATATTCCGGTATCCCATTTGTCCTGCCACTGTTGGAGAAGTTTCGTCCTCGCTAGATTCTTATCCATAGCATGGTATCTATCATAACATCCCTGTATGAGCAGTTCAATAGGTGCTATTTCAGATATAACCCCTATAGCATCTCCAGATACCGTTTTGTATGTGCTGCATACTCTAATAGCCATTAGACGTTATATTCTGGGTAGCCTTTGTGTTACGTTTCGATAGTTAATGACTTTTTGTCATACTGCGACTGTAAAACACAAGCAGCACTCTCCTTTTGGATTTTCTAGCCCCGAGAGCACTTATAGAGGAACGGAATGGTGTTTCTGAACATATGTACAAAACTTAATTTTAAGTATTGGAAGGCGATGTCAATCAGTTGTAAGAAATAGAGGAGGCAATACAGAATATTAATTTTGTTTTCAATCTTCTTTTCGCGGCTTTCTTAGTTTTTGTAACGAGAAAATTATCTCTATTATTGTTAATTGTAATAATTTTGTCTTTAAAATTTATTTTTAAAGACAATATATGAAATAGTAATTTAAGTCTTTCTTTTACAGTATCCAAACTATTTAAAAACGTAATTCAGAGAGTTAAACGTGTCTTGGTATTCAAATTAATATGGTTTTTAAAAATATGCGATAATTGTTTTGAGTAGTGTACTTTAACATACTTTTTACTATATTGAACGCATTTACATTTCCTCTTCCAAGATTTCTTTCGAATGAATTTCTCTGACTATCAAAAAATTGTTCTAGATCAGCAAATATGTCATATCCATCTGGCCTTTGTTCATTTGCTTCTGGATTAATAAATCTAGATACAAATACTGAATATTAATAAAAGACTGGAAATTTGGAAAAGTATAAACGGGATTAAGCATTTTAGAACAAGCAAACACGTTTATGAAGAATACATTTTTCTCTAAAACTTAATAAAAAAAAAGTCTCTTGTTAAGATAATTTGGGGACATACTGTAGATATTTCACCAATATAATATTTTCCATATTCACATGGTACATGTACAGGGTGGACCATTTTGGTTGTTTCTATAGGGTATCTAGGAAACCGTGAGAAATATTCAAATTTTGATACTGCAGTCTCGGGTTCTTTTTTTGAAAAAATTAAAATGGCGCAAACGGATCGTGGCTATCTTGATCGGTTTCGAAGCTACAGGGGGATTCTTAAATTTTGTACTTTTTGAAGATGTTCGATAGTTTGTTTATTTCAGCAACCACAGAAAAATGAATTATACATTCTAAAGGCACTTTTCTGTGTAGAATACAGTGGCGTAGTCAGACTTTTTTCGAAAAAAATATTTTTTGAGATATTAACTATACTTATGTTTTTTTTTAAATAGGTAATTTTTTTATATAAATCCCCTGTATATTTTTAAATTTTCTTATTCAGCTTGGCATGGGCTTCTCGAAAATATATATCTCTCTATATTTATTTTCACTATTAACCTCAACATTTCAAATTTTTCTTAAAATATCCATTTAGTGGATGGTAGGCCGCGCCGAGGAACAAAGTAAACGGTTGTCATGGTGATCGGAACATACCTTTGATGGATGCGGAACATTTCATTTCAACAGATTGAAGTGTGTGTATTTTAAATAATAAAGTAAAAAATGAGTAAATTTGAAAATTTTGAGAAATATAATAATATGTTAGAATGTTATATTGAGTTTAACAAACATAAGCAAATGGCAGCTGATTTATATTTTGAGCGGTATCCAGAGCGCGAGCAACCAAACCCAGCCATTTTTAAAAGGTTAATAAGAAATTTTAAAAATATACAAGGGGTCCTATTTAAAAAACATAAGTATAGTTAATATCTCAAAAAATAATTTTTTCGAAAAAAGTCTGACTACGCCACCGCATTCTACACAGAAAAGTGCCTTTAGAATGTATAATTCATTTTTCCGTGATTGCTGAAATAAACAAACTATCGAACATCTTCAAAAAGTACAAAATTTGAGAATCCCCCTGTAGCTTCGAAACCGATGAAGATAGCCACGATCTGTTTGCGCCATTTTAATTTTTTCAAAAAAAGAACCCGAAACTGCAGTATCAAAATTTGAATATTTCTCACGGTTTCCTAGATACCCTATAGAAACAACCAAAATGGTCCACCCTGTACATATGACATTTTTTGTTTGTTGTTCAATGTTCATTTGTTTTATAAAATTAGATGCTTGCATTATACTCACCGGCTCGAAAAACGAGCACCTTAAAATTTTGATGTATTTTAGAATTTAATATATTTTGTTCTAGGGGGTTGATTTTGATGATTTTAACTTTTTAGTATTTCTATTTCTAAATTATTTGACTTTTTAGTATTTCTTTCTAAATTAAAAATGAAAGTTTCCATCTGTCAATTATTCGAGGGAAAACAAAATGTTGATATTTTGGTGAAAGTTTAAAACACCCTGTGGAATATGTTAACTATGTTAAGACAGCAAGGAATTTAAAAATCTACACGTACATATCAGTGAACGGACTGTAAAGAAGAAGATTATAATATTGTCAAGAAAAATGGCGTATCCGCCAGAAATTAAAAATGTATTACTGGTTGCCTGCACAACCGCAACGTATCCGCCAGAAATTAAAAGACTTTTTCAGGCGCCATCTTTTAGTCAAGTCGAGAAGTAAGGGAATCAGACAATGGAATTGTCTGGTATGAAGAAGTACGCTTTCCGAGAATTGGGGAAATTTCGAGAAGCAGTCAATAGAGTATATAAGCCGGAGCCATCGACAACTGAGACAGTTTTTGAAATTTGAATATACCGCGTGGAAATTGAAAATCGGACAATTTGGTGAAGGAATCTTATAAATAGTTAGTTTGTTGTGTGTTATAAGTTAGTAATTGTGTATAAAGTGAGAAAATAAATTCGTTAAGTATTTTATCGTGAGTTTAAATTAGTGGACCCACGGAATCCGTAACAATTGGTGTCGGAAGTGCGATTCAAGAGGATTTTAAGAAGAAATTAAGTGGATTGGAAGATTTTTAGACCGAATTAGAGTATTTTTATGGTTGGTACAAGGGAACAAGCGAAGAAAATGGAGGAAGTAAGCAAATTATTGGGCGATTTTATGGAGAATATGAGAAGAGAGAAGGCAGAAGAACAAGAAAGACTCCGTAAAGAACGAGAAGAAGAGCGAGCCCGATTAGAAAGAGAAAAGGAAGAGGAAAAACTACGATGTCAACAAGAACAGGACCGGCTTGAGAACATTTTCGAAGATTTGAAAGTTCAACGACAACAAGAGAAACAAGAAGAACAGGACCGGCTTGAGAAAATACTGGGTAATTTGGAAATTCGTTTGGAGGAGCGACGTCAAAAGAAAGACAAGAAGAACAGGACCGTATTCAGAAAATTTTAGAAAATCAAGGAATTAGACAAGAACGGTTGGAGAAAATTGTTGAAGATTTAGAAGTGCGTCGCCAGAAAGAAAAATTTGAAGATCAGGACCGTCTTAAGAAAACTTTGGAAAATCAGGAATTTCGACTACAGAAGAATTTTGAAGACCTGGAAAAACGACAGGAGAACCATTTCCAAGAAGTCGTAGAAGATCTGGAGGAGCGCCTTCAGCAGAAGATAGAAAGGTTGGAGATGGACCTACAGAAGACCAAGGTACAAGTAAAGACACCTGGCGTTCAAGGAACAGCAAACCTTAAGGCTCCGACCTACGATGGACAAACGACATGGACAATGTACCACCGTCAGTTTGAAGCAGCCGCTGCTGCCAATGGATGGACTGACCAAGAGAAAGCAGCAGCACTTGTCATCGCGCTACGTGGCCCTGCCCTGGAACTGTTGCAAACTATTCCTACAGCCCAACAGCAGGAATACCAAACTTTGGTCGCTGCACTGGACAGAAGATATGGCGACCAACATCGACGCCAACTTTACCAGGCCCAGATCAAGACACGCCTGCAAAGGTCCGGAGAGAGTCTGCAGGAATTTGAAGCAGACTTACGTCGGCTGGTACACCTAGCGTATCCTGAAGCACCGGAAGGATTTAGGGAGGAACTCGCTGCTCAGTGCTTTATCAGGCGCAGAGGGCGCTGCAAATATCCTGATTTTCTACCAGCAGCGAAGCACTGGTCAGGGCGCTGGAAATCGAAGCTGCTTTTAGCGCCATCCCTAGACCGAAGATAAGATCGGTAACGGTAGAGGAACAGCCCGAGAGTACCCACAGAAGTTTGGAGGAGATGTGTAGAAAATTCGACAAACTATGTGAGCTACTAATAAACAAGTAAGTCAACAACACCCAGACAGAGAACCAAAGAAGATTCCAGGACATGAGGTGCTATGGATGCGGCAGGAATGGCCACATCAAACGGTATTGTCGCATCCAAATGCGATTCCATTCACCATCCAGAGAACATCGGCACATCGGAAGATCCCAGGACATAAGTTGCTATAGATGTGGCAGGAATGGCCACATCAAACGGGATTGCCGCGTCCAAATGCGATTCCGTTTACCATCGAGAGAACATAGGCACCCGGAAATCAACACTAATGAGCGAGTATTGGCTGAAGAAAACAGAGCCCCTAGGATGTTTTCCGTTAGGAGTCTAGGAAAAACCGCTGACAGTTTGGTGATCAACGGGAAGGTCAATGGTAGAAGAAATCGAATGACTGTGGACACAGGCGCTATGGTATCGTTGGTGCAGACTAACTCAGTGCGAGGATTGAAGATGATGCCTCTTAGAAGAAGAGTGTATTTACGTACAGTTACGGGGGAAATGGCCGTTGTACGGGGAGAGGCTTTCATGGAATTGGAGTTAGGGAATTTGAAGTTTCGGCATAGCGTTTTAGTGGCGGACATTGAAGATGATTTTATCATGGGTATGGATGTGATCAGTCAACATGGTTTTTCGTTTGATCACCATAGAAACATCCTGAAAATCGGAAATGAGGAATTTTCTGTATCTAAAGAGAAGAGACCAGGAAATATGGAAGAAATATTATCGAAAATTGTGATGATACCTGGTGATACCAAGAAGACTGTGTTCGGGAAACTAGAGAAAACCGTTGGGTGCCGTGTAGGACGGGTACAAATTATCGACAACGACCTAGATCGACGACGAGCTACCTTGGACAAGAAAATGAAACATCGCGAAAGCACTATCAGAATAAGGAGTTTTAAGCTTGGAGCTGATGAACAGTGGACGACGACACAATTGAGGAAAGATCAAATGGAAGATCCAGACATCGGAGCAATACTACGGCTCAAGGAAGGTAACGGCGAGAGACACCGTGCCAGGATATTGCGGACAGAGGGGCTCGTTTTTCAAAGCTCTCTGGGCTCAGTGGAATTCACTGGTGATTGAGAATGGATTGTTAAAGCGCACGTGGGAAAGTGCGGATGGCAGGACAGTAACAACTCAGTTACTGGTACCAAGGAAGAAAGTTACCCAGGTATTGGAAGAAATTCAAGGTGGTAAAACTGGAGCCCATCTTGGGGTAAACAAGACCCTGAGCAAGCTGAGAGACCGTTTTTACTGGGTGGATTATTGTGAAGATGTTAAGAAATGGTGTCGACAATATAAAACTTGTGCAGCCAGCCAAGGACCAAGCACTCGATCTAGGGGAAAAATGAAACAATATAACGTTGGACTGCCATTCGAAAGAATCGCTGTTGACATTGCAGGCCCATTCCCTGAAACGCACAAGGGCAACAAGTACGTTTTAGTAGCGATGGATTATTTCAGTAAATGGCCAGAAGTTTTTGCCATTCCAAACCAAGAAGCATCGACTGTAGCTGAAGTATTGGTCAATAATGTCTTCAGTAGATTTGGAATTCCCTTAGAGCTTCACACTGACCAAGGAAGGAACTTCGAGTCAAGACTGTTCCAGAAGATGTGTGATCTGCTTGGTATTCACAAGACTAGGACAACAGCTTTACATCCGCAGTCTGATGGGATGGTCGAAAGATTCAATAAGACCATTGAAGAACACCTCTCGAAAATGGTGGCCGAACATCAAAGAGATTGGGATCAACACATACCGCTGTTCCTAATGGCGTATAGAAGTGCAGTTCACAACACCACCGGACTTTCACCATCGAAGATTTTATTTGGTCGAGAATTACGGTTGCCTTGTGACTTGGTGTTCGGATCACCAGACGACGGCACCACAAATGTAGAGGACTACGCGGATGAACTGAAGGAAAGGTTAATGGAAATTCATAAGGCCGTAAGAAGTAAGATTACGCTAGCCAGTGACCGGATGAAAGCTCGTTACGACCTCAGAGCCAATTCTACGGGATTTCAACAGGACGATATGGTATGGTTATATAACCCACAGCGCAAGAAAGGGAGGTCCCCAAAGTTAACTCCAGCATGGGAAGGTCCTTATACAGTCATCAAGAGGATAAATGATGTTGTGTACCGGATTCAACGCAGCCCTAGAAGTAAGATGAAAGTAGTTCATCTGGATCGATTGAAGAGATACCAGACAGGAACCTTGATCGGGACGATCAAATTTGAGAAGGGGCAATGTCAAGAAAAATGGCGTATCCGCCAGAAATTAAAAATGTATTACTGGTTGCCTGCACAACCGCAACGTATCCGCCAGAAATTAAAAGACTTTTCAGGCGCCATCTTTTAGTCAAGTCGAAAGTAAGGGAATCAGACAATGGAATTGTCTGGTATGAAGAAAGTACGCTTTCCGAGAAATTGGAGAAATTTCGAGAAGCAGTCAATAGAGTATATAAGCCGGAGCCATCGACAACTGAGACAGTTTTTGAAATTTGAATATACCGCGTGGAAATTGAAAATCGGACAATTTGGTGAAGGAATCTTATAAATAGTTAGTTTGTTGTGTGTTATAAGTTAGTAATTGTGTATAAAGTGAGAAAATAAATTCGTTAAGTATTTTATCGTGAGTTTAAATTAGTGGACCCACGGAATCCGTAACAATATTTCCCGTTCAACGAAGCAAATCGTATATCAAGGCCCTGCTTCGGGACCACAAAATAGGTCTGTCGACTAGGACCAAAAGCAAAAGTTTGATTTTAATGTAAAAATTACGAAAAAATGTTAGTGTTTTCTTCAAAAGCGAATATCTCCAACAAAAATAAAGCTAACGAGATGAACCAAAAGAACAACTATCGAGAAAAGATGCACCTAGATGATAAAATTATTGTCAAATTCCTTGCTTTTTAACATTTTCCAGAGGGTGTTCCAAACTTTTTGAAATAACAACATTTTGTGTTTTCTCGTAATGGGAATGTCAATTTTTAGTTTAGAAAGAGATACTAAAAAGTCTAATAATTTAGCTACAAATTGCTTAAAAGATCAAAAATACATAAAACATTTAAGGTGTCCCTTTTTCGTGCCGTGAAATTAATCAAGCAAACACCTTAACCGCAACATAATAAACAAATATTAAACTATAATACATCGCTTACTTATGTTGTGATATATGTGGTCTATGTTTGACATTTTTTCTGGCCCAAGCTCCTTGACCAGGGTAAATAGGCTTGGTAGGTACAGGTTTTGGTTCAGCGTGTTCATTGTCCGGTTCTCTCGGTTCATTTTCATGTTCCTCATCGGTCTTTTCATCCGGTAACTCCTCGGGTTCGCCCTGATTTTCGCTGACATAATCACTATTTTCGTCATCTAAAGAAATACGGAGTAATGTAACAACTAGTCAATAAGGGAGGAGAACATAGCAAAATAGATTTAAACATCAACAGCAAAAAAAAAATATGATAATATCCAGAAACCCAGATATATTTAAAAACTTCACCATACCATTTAACAGAAGACCCGTAGAAAGTGTAATTAATATTATACACTCAGATGCAAAAAAAACGCAACGGAAAAAATTTTGGTCAAATTTAAAGTGTTATATTTTTGTTATTTTTAGCTTTATTTTCATCATTTTTTTTTTCAAGCTGTAATTATATCACTTTTTATTCGTAAACTCAGTTTTTATAAACTTTAGTATTTGTCATATTATACAGGGTTAATCGAGGGGTTGTTTTTTACCTTAACTTTAAAACATCCTGTGTAATAATCTCGTGTGTAAATTTTCCTAAAATATGTCTTCTGAGCATTTTGTTTATTGGATCATGTTAATACATGCCTTGATTAATTTTTAAGAGCTAAATGAGCTTGCCACCAACAATTTGAAATTTTTTCATTATCAGTTATTTTTCAATGTAACAAGGCTGTTTTGGTGATTATTTTGAACTCTATATACTACTATAAACTGCCCATCATGTTCGACGTTTGGCAAATGCTTGGCAGGAGGGTAAGAGGTCGCAAAGTAGTACCAGCTTCATTAAATGAACTTCGCTGGGTCCTTAAAGAAGAATGGGAAAACATAACGCAATATGATATATGCAGCCTCAATCACAGTATGAACGGACGAATACAGCGGGTTATAGCAGCCAAGGGCGGGGCAATACAAAGTATTAAAGAAGGTATTTTTACAATTTTTTTTCTGTTTGTAAACTTGAGTATTAAGCCCCGGTTACACGGTGCGTGGTTTGGCAGACCACAAATTGGCCCGTGGCCTGCCCTGGTCAGCCATTTGACGAACCGACATTGTCAAAACGGTTTGTGTGGTTCGTGGTCTGCAGACTGATCTTGAGATGCAGTCTGATCTTGAGACCCGGAACTTGAAAATTTAGTTCGATTTGACATGGATGCAAGGCAACAGGCTGTGGCAGCTGCTACTTTGTGTGTCATGTATAGTGGATTATTGTTGCAACAAAAATGCAAGAAGAGATTGTGGGTGGCAACATATATGCGAAATAGAAGCTGCATGCACCGACAATGGTCCGTAATTTGCCGAGCCAATACGAACCCTCACGGAACAGCACAGTCCATTCCTTTGTTCCGTGAAATTTTACCGACAACAGACGGGCAGGGCCGGACTTAACGAAGTTGCCGCCCCAGGCAAAAAAAAAATTGCCGCCCCTTAACTTTTTTTTTAATTAAAAAAATTACGGATATAAAAAACATTTATTTCAATACAGGACCAACAACAGAATAGACCGACAGAACAGATCAACACAGAACATAAAATAAATATTAAAATATTCATATAAAATGACAACAAACGAACAATAAAACTATAAGGTTTGCTTATATGCCTATAAAGGTTTCCTAGATACTTTTTTGTTCGCAAAATTATCAATTACTTCATCGTAATTGATAGTTTTTAAAAGGTCGGACTCAATATGTAAAACTGCCAAATAATTTAGACGTTCTGTTTCCATAGTGGACCGTAAATAAGTTTTAATACGTTTCAATGCAGAAAACTAGCGTTCAGAAGAACAGTTAGTAATAAAAGTACATGTGAAGATTCTTAATGCTATGAAAGTATTTGGAAACAGGTCTTGAGCGTTTTTTTCATAAATTACTTTAAGAAGCTCTCTAGCAGATGGTTTTGCTGACTTAATGCATTTTATAAATTAGTATTTTTAACACAACCACGGCACTCTAGACTATCTAAATCTAGACGGCCATTCTTTCCAGAATGTCATTTTCTATCGAACAAAGTAAAAAAAATACCGAGGGTGCCATTTAAAAATCAAAAGTTGTAGTTATTACAGGAACAGGAATTACAGGAACAGTTAGAAACAGGAAGTGACCAAAAACAATTAAATACGTCAATCAAACCTGATTTATATCATATACTAATGTACGAAGTCTCGTTATTTTATCTGAAAAAATAAAAAAGTTATAGGGGGTGAGTCACTTTTGATATAGAGTATAGAGCTTATTAAAATGCATTAAAATAGGGCTAAAAATAGCAAAAATTATAACACTTTAAATTTGACCAAAAATTTCTCCGTTGCGTTTTTTTGCATCTGAGTGTAGTTAATAATTTCGTTATTCTTAAACACAATTATTTCATAATTTTATTAGGTAAGTAATTACCTGGTTCTTTTGCATCAACATTTTCCTCGTTTTTTTCATCATCTGCAATTTTATCACTTTCGTCATCATCACGTTCACTATCAATATCTTCACCTGGTTCATGTAGCCTGTCATCGCGATAATTCTCTGTTAATGATGGTCTGTTTAAGACAGGACCACTATGTTGATTAACATGTGCTTGTTTGATACTTGGTGCATTAAAGTGTTCGTAGTTTTCTTGGTTGTTATTATCAATAAAAACTTTTGGTCTTTTAATAAGTTTTCTTTTTACTGGAACCTGTCCTATCTCATATTTCTTGCTTTCTTGTTTATTTTGAAAATCACCTAAGTACTTTTTTGGTTTGTTCGCTCCTTGCAATAAAACATTTCTATACCCTTGAGTGACAAATAGAATGGGTTCTTTTTGAGTAGTTAGAGATATAGGTAACTCTGTGGCCTCACTTTCAGGTGCTGTCAAATAGTACCCTGAGTTTTGAGGTTCATATTGATTCGAACTTGGGCTGAAATAATATTACATATTAATATTACTGATTCACATTCGTCATAAACCTAAAAATGTACACACCTTGGTATAGCTGATAATGCATATTCTCTATAAACTGAAGGTTTTCGCTTATTGCTTCGATTTAAAACGGATTGTATAGATTTTGGGGTCTCTTCTGCCTTAAATATTTGTTTAAAATTTTGAGCTGGTAACGGTTTTACCTTTAACACTTCATCAGGAAGAGTTTGATATTTCTTTGGCTTTGGCTTATAAAAATACTTAGACGATACAGATGCATCACCGTTCCCTTGATTTTTACTTAAATATTTATTCTTCGGAAAATCTATCCGTCTTTGATGTTTCAGTTCATTGTTTTGGCGTGTCTTCTTTAAAGACTGCTGATCACTTACAGGTATGGAAGTGTCTTGATTTATTATGGTACTATAACTTAATTGATCTTGCCTGTTGGGCGATAATAAATAAAATCCGCTTTCTCCCTTTAAATGTTCAGGTATTATAACTTCACTTTGTGCTAAAATATCATCGCTGTACCAATGGGACGATGGGGAATGTACTAAAAAAGTAGTATTAGTTATATTTCCAAGGACAGTGACGAAATATACAAAATAAATTCAATGTGTTTCAACACCGGAATTGAAGTTTATACAGGAGTTTTCTACGATGTTTTCAATGTGTATCTCGGAAACTACTGGAGATAGAGAATCGGTTAAATGGAATTGCACACAAAGAATTGCAGTTTTGTGGGGTCATAAATATGCGCCTTTCAGATTTTTGAAAAACTTCATGGCTTCCTAGATATTTCGAAAAAAAAACAAATTTCGACTATTTAAAAATGGTCCCTAATTCCATTGTAATCTGTTTGAAATAAAAAGTTTTCAGATAAAAGTTGTAGATAATCTCATCCTTAATGAGACTGTGTTGTCCGTTTTTTTCTAAAGTCTGTCATTTTTGACATATGACACAAACTTATGTTTTTTTTTAATGGAAACCATATTTGGCCATGACTTCATAAAAAGCGCCATTTTTAAGATTTTCAGCGATATAAGCTATATGTTTTTTTTTTTCAAAAAATTACGAGTTATAGCCAATTCTTATCATTTTTAAACAATTTCACTTAGTTAGCCATGGAAACAAGTTCAATCGTCATTGCTCTCAAAACTGTCACATCCAAGCTTTGTAAATTAAAATAACCAAAAATTGTAAATATGAATTTTTCAAATGAAGAAAAGTGTGTAGGATTTTTGGTTATTGGTAATTGGAAATGTTAAAAATTATTTATATCATAATTATTCAAACTCAGGGATAGGAAGGGTGGACCAATTGCATGGGCCTCCTCTATCACCTAGCCTATCCATTTTAGATTTTTTATGCGGTATATTTTTTAAACATTTTCTAAAATAACTTAAAGTGTATGTAGTGATATTATTTTTTTAAGTTTTAGTTTGTGTAATGTAAATTGTAAAGAACCGGTTAATAAAATATTCTGTCTTTTTATAAGTTATAAATTTATAATAATTAAATAAATAACAGAATAAGAATACCATACCAACTAATTGAAACTAGTCAAGAACGATAAGAATGGGCTATAACTCATTAATTTTTCGAAAAAAATATATTATAGCTTATAACACTGAAAAGCTTCAAAAATGGCACTTTTTATGAAGCCATGGCCAACTATCGTTTCCATTAAAAATAGCATAAGTTTGAAGTAAAAATGACAGATTTTAGAAAAAAACGGAGAACACAGTCTCATTATGGATGTGATTATCTACAATTTTTATCTGAAAAAGTTTTTCAAAAATCTGAAAGGCGCATATTTATTACCCCATAAAACTGCATATTTCTTCCCATTTAACGGGCTCTCTATCTCCAGTAGTTTCCGAGATAGCCATTAAGAACATCGTAGAGGACTCACCCTGTATAAACTTCAGTTCCGGTGTTGTTGGTAAAAGCAGCGAAAAAAATTCTAGTGTTAAATCATCATTTTTATTCTATTACAATCTTACTTTGGTCTATCCATTTTGGTGTCCTAATTGCTGAACGTTCTTTTTCTAGATTCTGAGTCCATGATAAAGGAATTTTTGTTGCATTTGTACTAAGAAACGTCCACATACAACTTAGCAACAGGTATTTAGTAGATATCATAATGGACATATACTAGTCAACATTAAGTAACCTTAACATAGCATATTATCTTCTAGACAATTACTGAATATCAAGTCCCCACAAAATTCACTAACCAAGTTAAAAGATGCATACGTTTATCGGGATTCTAAAAAAATGGTCACCATATTAGTAAATATCATAAACAACATTGCTTTTCGTTAATTTTAGATATACCGTGTGTTTTTCAAAAATAGCTCACCCCTATAACTTTTTTATTTTTTCAGTTAAGAAATGGTATATTATAGGGTACGACTGTCCGATATTGGAATACCGACGCTTTAAAATTTTAAGGCAAGGTTTTTTGGAGGGACTAGAGGGAGCAGCAGGGAAGCCAACATCAGAGACATCGGGAACTTTGCATTAACGCAAAGAAAGAATGAGAGGAAGGTTTGGTACAATATACAGACCCAAGGACTCCGAGTGAGGAACCAGGCATAATCCCAAACTCCAGCAACCTCTATATAGATACCTATATATCTATAGAGTGCCAGATTGAAATTTAAAGTTCCATTTTTTTAATCGAAAATATTAAAAGTTGACATCTGATATATCCAGAATCGCAAACAGGTTTTCGCACCAACCGTGGCACCGTCGATTCCACATTCTCCATGCGCCAACTACAGGAAAAAGTAAAAGAGCAGCAGTCTAAACTATATGTTGCATTCATCGACCTAACAAAAGCCTTCGACTCTGTGAACAGAGATGCACTTTGGACAAATATGAAAAGTTCGGAGTACCCAACAAATTTCTTAGAATGTGCAAAAGTCTCGATAATAACAAGTCAAGAGTGTCACATCATGGTGAGCTTGTAGACGGTAAGAGGAGGCCGGGTGGACAACTCAAAATGTACAAAGATATTTTCCACTTAAGAAGGATTAACAAGCAGAATGACTGGGAAGAAGCAGCTCACAATAGAACGGAATGGAGAAGAATTGAAAACTTAGTTAACAGCGACAACCAAAAAGTAAAGAGGCAAAAAAGTAATGAGATTTTTGAATGTCTGAAGTTCGGTAGATAGATAACATTACGTATCCGGCTTTTCAGTCACAGAAAAGCTCATGAAAGAAAACGCCTTGCGTGACCATCTTCTGATGCGTGTCAAATACTCGTCAGTATGTATGTACGTATGTATGTAGTCATTTCGGGTGAAACAGGAAATGACCGAAACTAATTGAATATGTCAATCAATCCCGATTTATATCATATATTAACATACCAAATTTTGTTTTTTTTTTTAATCTGGAAAAGTAAAACAGTTATAGGGGCGACTTTTGAAGAACACCCGGTATAGAAAAATCAATAGAAATTGGTATGCATGTCATCACGTACGTGGTTTGTGTAATAATGTTGCTATAAGAACATTTTTGTGTATTGTTTCTAGGACTGAAGTGAAAAATCAGTGACAAAAATACAAATTTTATTTCATATTTATCAAAAGTCAAAGTAAAAATTAGACGTACCGAGATTACGAAGTTCAGTGATTTTGATGACGTGCTTGCCAAGTTTTATTCATTTTCCTATAACTTAATAACATATATTTAGGAAATAGGTACATCTTTCAAAAATATGTCCGATGCTATTTATTCTTAATTTAAAATTAAAGTTAGAAATCAATCTTAAGTTAATGAAAGCGATATAATATTTCAAAAATGTGTTACCAACTCAAACCACTAAGATTATTTATTACTCGAGAACCGTATGCCAGATGTTATTGTAATACTTTTATCTAAAATTCAATTGTAAAAAGCAAATGTAACACTTATTAGTAGGATATTGTTATATTCTAACAAATCAATACGTTTTTTTTTCGATTAAATTATAATATATTGATTTGATAATTTTAATTGATTAATTTATCATGTAAATTTAGGTACTACCGGGCGACAACAAATCGCTTGTATTATAAAATTTTATTGATTTTTTTTTAAATAAATCCAAATCTTGGTTAAAAAAATAGTTCCTTAAAAACTTATATTATGTATTAAAAACAATTATTAACCAAGGTAACACATTTAAACGGCAACTTGTAAATGTTTTACATATTTGCATAGATATTTTTTTTTCTGATAGAAAAGTTCATATTATCTTTTACGATAGAAAATGTTCTTTTCAATAATTTATCACAAATTGCTATTTCTATTTTAAAAAGGTGAATAGTATTAGGCTTTCCGAAACCGGAGCGGTTTTTCGCTCCGGGAATTTCAGTACCGCGCCTCTTAGGAACCGGTTTCCAGTTTTTTTTTCGGTACTGACTAATTTTTGTTCAGTGGTGGTGCAGTTCATCAAGCAAGGGATGGTTTTTCAAAGTAAAATGGCTAAAAAATTTAAATTTTTAATGAAAATAACATCAAATTATTAAATAATGTCATGAGAAAATTAACATGAACACAAACATGAACACAAGTAAAAAAAATATAGGTAACTTAAATTTCACATAAACCAACTTAACTGAATTTGAGACAAAAGCCCCAAAATATTGAATTAAAAATGCAAATATCTATTAAAACATAACATAATAAATATTATAGAAACCTCAAAAGACAAAAGAAGCAAGAACAATAAGTAATACCACCATTGCTTATTTAGAAGAGTTTGATTTCGACCGCTAGAAAGTATCAAAAGACTTTCTCATGTAACAAAAAATAATTTTTTATTTATTGTTACCGAATTGAGTCCTGAACGAACCGGGAATATGGGGGTTAGTGATGGGCAACACAGGGGTTCTGTGATGGCTAAACAGATCTGAACCCTAATTAGTAGTATTAATTAGAGTTTCCGGAACCGCACTGAAATATTTTCTTTTAGTGATTGTGGAGTTCGTCAATCAGCAAGCAAGGAATGGTTCTCAAAAGTAAAACCGCGATAAAAAATTGAGTTTCAAATGAAATTAATATCAAATTATTAAGTCATGAGAAAGAAAACATGAACACAAGCGAAAAAAAAACGAAAACACATAGGAAGCTGAAAAATAACATCAAACAACATGAACCAACCACGAAACCAACTTAACGAAGTTTGAAAAAAAATACATTTTCAATTAATTAAATGTCAAGCGATATAAAACAATATATCTGGCCATGTCATATAACGACACTTTGTTAAAAAGTCAGTATATCATCTATCGTCATTTCCAAGCCAACTTTGGGCCGTTTTTTTTCTCGATCATATGGTATATAATTAATATCAACTATTAGATATCACTAAAATACGAGATATATTTTCATAAATACACTTTATAAAGTTTTAGAAGCAGTATTTATAATATACGAAATTCAAATAATTACTTTTTTGACAGATGGAAATATATTGTCTGATTGACAATTTAATGTCAAAGGAAGCTAGATAAAATCAAGAAAAATTAACTAAATCTAAATGTTAAATAACCTAAAAACGATTTATTTTAAATATAGAAACAGTGGCGGATACAGAGGGGGCCATGGAGCCCAGGCTTTCCCTAAAATCTATAAACGGGGATAAATGTTAGGCTGGCGCCCTAAAAAAACTGTCGCCCTAAAAAGCATATTCTATATTACTTTTTATTTGCTCCCCCCCCCCTAAAATAAATTCCTGTATCCGCTCCTGTATAATAGAAACATGTCAATAATCAAAAAGTAACGAATTGAAAAATCTTTTCACTAGAATAAAAAACCACCACACTGAAATAAAAAGTGGGTTTCCATTTGGAATAAATGATTTATGATAATTTTTAAATCTCTCAAATCAGCTACTAAATCTCTCAAAACAGCCACGGGCAATATATGTCCGCTTATGAAATTGAAACAATTTTTTTTTAAATAGATAGCCACACAATTAATTTCTTCTCTTTATGTAACAGTGGCTGTGGTAGAGGTGTGTATTTCGTGAACGAACTAGTTCCAATGAACTATTCCGACCCCGGAATGAAAGGAACTAGTTCCTGGTTTCTCAAAGGACTAGTTCCTCAGGACCTATTCCGGGATCGAGACTGTGACCGATATAGAATAATATGCGACGGCGGCGGATCGGCTAGCGCGCGTAGCCCGATGGTAGGCAGAAATGGGGAGTGCTAACCGTACGTTATCGCATCCGGACCTAGGGGAACTAAACTAAATAAAAGACTAGTTTACTTACGAACGGATAGGGCCAGCGTGATCGATGCTAGGCAGGAGTGGGGAGTGCCAGCCGTATGCCGTATGTTATCGGATCCGGACCTAAAGGAACTAGAGGAACTAAATAAAAGACTAGTTTACGTATGGATCAGCCAGCGCGATTGATGCTAGGCAGGCGTGGGGAGTGCCAGCCGTAAGTTATCGCATCCGGACATAGAGGAACTATTAAAAGACTAGTTCACGGGAATCTATTCAGTCGGCAGATCCGAGATATAATACAAGGCGATGACGATGGATTCGGCCTTGTCTATTGCCAGAGCCGGCGCGGCGTAATTACCACAGAAATTTGTCGTAGATATTGTTTTTGATTTTTAGTTTGTTTTTTAAATATTTTATGGGAATGTTTCACTTTAGGTCCCTAAAATTAAGAAATATCTTATAAAAGGAAGTAGATATTCTGAACTTTTAGACAAAAACAAAAAGCATAAAGGGAGGAAAATGCAATTTTTCGTAAAATTTTTGTAATATTTGCTCCAATTGATTTGTGATATAGTTTTTTAAATTCTGATTTGAGTTTTTTTATTTTTTTTATCTGCAATAAAACTTACCTATATGTTTTTAACATACACAATTACACGTCTCGTTATATCTCCGTACATTATAAAAATTATATAAATCATACTATATACTGAATAGTTCTCACTGACAACGAAACGCATTAGCAAGCAAGGGGGATGTCAATGTTAGTCGGGAACTATTGTGAACTATAAAGACCTACTTCAAGGAACTATTTCTCTGGAGGAACTAGAACTTAGGAACTAGTTCCTCCCAAGGAACTAGAATTCCCACCTCTAAGGCTGTGGTAATTACTCAATTTGACGTTGACGCTATACAAATTTTTTGATGGGCAGTTTTTGATGTTAGTTATAGAATGTTTGATATCAAAATTCATAAAATTATACGGAGACTTTAAGTATGTAATAAAAATGTAGGTACCCATTTCAAAAAAAAGAGAGGT